CGATCAGGCACTGAACCTCAAACTGCCATAACTCAAAGGAAGAGTCGCCTTTACCACGTTCTCCAGAAAATGAAGGAAGCTTGTAGAATCGAGTGTCAAGCGTAGAAGTAGATCCAGGCTCATCAACAATGTTGTCTCGCGCAGAACCACCACCAGCACCTTCCTCCTGATTTAGTCCAGTCTTTGGCAAACCATCAGTCGCAACTAAAAATTCCAACATCATCTTCTGTGCCTTCATCAAATCTTCACCTTGGCTAGCTTTTGTCGACAATTTATGAAACATCTCGGCCATAGCTCTAACTGGGTTATCCTCAGATGACTCCTGAGGTGGAGGAAGGTTCAACTCTTTAGGATCACTCATGATGTTAACAATGTAAGTTACGATGTACCAAAAATGTAACACCCACGTACTAGTAGTATATTATTACAACTTTGGACAAAATTTGTTGGTAATATGAAATAATGCAAAGCGAAAAGCAAAAATATATGCTAAGAATCGAGGACAAGTATAGGCCTAAAGTATATTCAAGCAGAAAACTAAGTACTATGTAATGTAGGTTTACGATTCAAGCACAATACATTATATGATCCCCAAAAATACGCATACAATCAATCACCAGATCAATCACTCGTAATATCAACAGTCTCCGGTACCAAGAATCTTCAAATGGTTAGCAAAATGTCAATTATCAGCAATATAGATGATCATGCAGAGGAAAATACACCAATGTCAACAATATCACACTACCGGATGTAAATTAAATGGGACTCTGTTCCGTTTACTTTAAATATGTTTATTCAGCAATGAACACGGTCTGAAAAGACACACAAAGTAGTGGTAAATTGCACAATGATAATTAGCATGAATTACGTATAGAAACTAATCATAACATACAATCCTCTATCTCCCCCAAGTCCCAAGTACACGTAAGTAATAGGGTCACTCGTATTAGTCCTGGGAACAAAGACTGATGTGAAATATGAGAATTATTAAGAAATGTCCAACTAATTGTCCTTAAATAAACAAAATGAAGCACTGAGTCTCCGTGAAAATTTGCACAACAGATATAACACTAAGGAAATTTTCCAAGTAGAAACAAGTCAATTGTTATTTGGACATTTTATAATCTGAATGCCAAGCTGGTTTCTTTGTGGCCCGGCCAGAAGTCCGGATCGGTGCAGCGGACGGAACTACTGCTTGTGGCGTATGTGTCGAGATAGGTGGCATCGTTGCCGGGGGTTTGGTGATTTTGCTCACTGGGGTTGCAGGAGAATCAAACGCTAGATGACGTCGACTGAAGATGTCTCGAATACCAAATGGCGGTGAAGGGTGATCAACATCAGATGATGAACGAGGCGAACGTTGTATCGTTCTAGTAGTCAACGGAGTGGATGGTGGAGGACTCGTATCCTTACGGGGAGGGTTGCTTTCTTCACCGACGACGGTGTCTGGAGCGTTAGAAGCAGGAGACGTCGTACGATGGGAGAGTCCAATTTGATTGTCAATTGTGTAGCGCGCTGGTGGTGTAACGACTGGGATATACTTCCTGGGGAATTTCCTGTTGCGTAAGGTAACACGGCCAGATCTGTCAACCCGAACTACATATTGATCAAACTGGCGAACTTCGGTAATGATTCCAGTCTTGTCCCATTTAAGGGGTGAGGACCAACTTGATTTTGGATGCGAACATGATCTCCAACTGCAAGAGGTAAGAGGCGTTTGGTGTGTTCAGACCAACGTTCACTTTCTCGCATGTGACGATTCCGTAAAGCCTCCTCGCGAGCTGCTAAAGTCTCCAGCCAAGTGTTGTGTGGAATGTACCGCATAGGACGACCGAACACGCACATAGCAGGGGATAGTTTTGTGTCTCTGTCAGGTGTGTTACGATACTGGAGAATAGCGCGTTGGAATGCGTCGGTGTTTAAGTCGCCATTGGGACTGGTGTTGCCAGTGATCAGACGCTTTACTGTTTTGACTCCCACTTCAGCACGGCAGTTACTATGGGGAAAAGCTACAGATGACAGTCTATGGTGAACGCCCCAGTTCCTGAGAAATCGACGTGTGGCCGCAGAAGTGAACTCGGGTCCATCATCTGATGCTAGTTCATCAGGGATACCAAAAGTAACAAATGTCCTTCGGAGACAAACCATTGGAACCAAATGTCCTTCTGTTAAACCATTGGAACCATCAGAGGCTTTCTCCACCACCGGCCAGTTNTGAGGACCAACTTGATTTTGGATGCGAACATGATCTCCAACTGCAAGAGGTAAGAGGCGTTTGGTGTGTTCAGACCAACGTTCACTTTCTCGCATGTGACGATTCCGTAAAGCCTCCTCGCGAGCTGCTAAAGTCTCCAGCCAAGTGTTGTGTGGAATGTACCGACCGGGTGGTATAGGAATAAAGTCTCGTATAGGACGACCGAACACGCACATAGCAGGGGATAGTTTTGTGTCTCTGTCAGGTGTGTTACGATACTGGAGAATAGCGCGTTGGAATGCGTCGGTGTTTAAGTCGCCATTGGGACTGGTGTTGCCAGTGATCAGACGCTTCACTGTTTTGACTCCCACTTCAGCACGGCAGTTACTATGGGGAAAAGCTACAGATGACAGTCTATGGTGAACGCCCCAGTTCCTGAGAAAACGACGTGTGGCCGCAGAAGTGAACTCGGGTCCACCATCTGATGCTAGTTCATCAGGGATACCAAAAGTAACAAATGTCCTTCGGAGACAGTCTATTAAACCATTGGAACCATCAGAGGCTTTCTCCACCACCGGCCAGTTGGAATAACGATCAACTACCACTAGGTAATTACAGCCCATGTAGTGGAAGAAATCTGCACACACGCATTGGAATGGATAGTCAGGAGTTATCAAAGGAGTCGGTGGTGCATTCGGGTTAGATGGAGCAATACGTTTGCAGTGGTTACAAGTTGCGCGTAGGGAGGCGATGGCAGGCGTGATACCAGGCCAGAAGATTGACGCGTCAGCTCTTGAAGTCATAGATGTCACCCCTTGAGGTGCCGAATGCAGGGAGGCAGGGGTTTCTTCCCGGAGTGATGGGGGAATTACTATTCTGTCTTTATAAAGTACTACACCATCAACCGTATGAAGGTCGTCACGGAATGGGAAATATTCTTGCAGTGGCCTAGGCAGCTCGTGACGGGTTCCCGGTATACCGGCCTCTAATAGAGCGATTAACGCCTGTATGTTGTCATCGCTGGTAGTAGTGGTTCTAACGCGCTCCCAGGTGACGGATCGTAAATTGATCGCATCTAGTGTTAAAGAAGCTGATGCCACGACATGCTCCTCAACAAATGCTAGTCCTGATGAAGGCATGCGTAGACCACTCATTAGACCAAAGTGGGCGATGTCGACGGCAGAAAATGACAGAGCTCAATATCGTCCTCGAGCACAAGTTTCTCAGGCTCACCAATAGGATGTCGGGAGATACAATCCGCAGCACGATGTCGTATGCCAGGCACAGAAAGCATTCGAAAGCGGTATCGTAGTGTTTTCTCCTTGAGGTTACGAAGTCTGTTGTTAGGAATGTTCTCCAGTGATCTATCGCCAAATAACTTCAACAATGGCTTATGATCAACAGCTATGATCAAGTTGTCGCACCCAAGAACGAAGTGTCGAGCTTTATCAAGGGCATCTGCTACTGCTAGGGCCTCGCCCTCAACTGGCGCGTAACGCGTCTCTGCCGCATGTGTGAACCGACAACCTACGAGTGTAACTTTCCAACCATCACGGCAGCATAGCAAGCTTTCATTAGCACAAGCGCAGTGTTTCTGTAGCAACCTAAATCCAATGCCAGTCTTTGACCAGTCTGTCGCGGCACACGTCAATTTACTTGGGTCGAAAATCCGTATACCCTGCTCAATCTCGTTGGCAATGACAATTTTAGATTCCTCAAAAAGTCGTTGGAGATCTTCAGTCCACTGAAACGGTTGATCTGGTTTGAGCAACTGACGGAAAGGAAGCATATTCTCAGTCATACTGAAGGCATACGACACTTGATTGACTAGTCCAAACCATGACCGCACATCTGTGATGTTCCTGGGTGTCGGAAAATCCAGGATGGCGCGTAGGTATTTCTGTGAAGGCCGTACACTATCGTTGGTTATTTCAAACCCAGCGAATTCGAGTGTGTCCTCTGCAAATACAAATTTGTCAGGGTTCAGCGTTATACCGTTACGGCCGCATATGTCAAGCCACTGGACTGTCTGAAAGAAGCTTTCTTCAACAGTGTCTGACCATAAAATAACATCGTCGACACATTTGGTTTTGTTGGGGATGTCCGAAACAAGCTCGTCATAGCGCCTGGTGTATCCGTCGCCCGATGCAATGTAGCCTTGGGGTGCAGTTTTGTAACGGTACCTCCCCCAAGGAGTAATGAACGTGGTCAAGTGTCTGTCCTCTTTGCAGATGGGTACACTGTGATAACCGTTCCATGCATCAAATATTGTCTTCTTCTTTCCATGTGGAATAGACCGGGCTTGGTGGAATGGCGAAGGGGTGTGATGAGTTTCGCGAGTGGCATGTGCATTTAAGGGTTGGAAGTCAACAGGGCGCCGAGGTGTACCATTCTTTTTCGCACAAATAACCATTATATGGCACCAAGTGACAGGCTCACCAACCGGAACAGGTTCAATAACCCCCAAACGAACATCCTGGTCTAGTCCAGCCTTTACTGCACCCTGCCAGTGGATTGGAACGGGTACTGGTGGATGGTGAGCGACAGGTTTCGCGTTGGAGTCCACCATGAGCTTCAAGGGAGGTCCGTTCATGAGTGGTAAAGTCTGGTGTTCACATGTGTTGACTGTGCTAGACTTGTAGTGGTCAAGAAGGTAACCTTTTAAGTGACCAACGTTTTCCGTTGTAGCAGGGAAAGGCAGTTTTGTCGGAGGCGGTGGGGGCATTTGGCGTGTAGGACAATCGCATGCTTTGACTTGGTGATCCGGTAAGGAGAAAGTAGCATCGACATGTATGCTAGCTAAAGGGACTTGAGCTCCGACGGTTGGAAATGAATCGTGGATAATACCTTATGCAGCGCAGGCTTCGAGACTGAGGAAGAGCTTTTCTGTTGAGCTTGTGACATATGTCATCTGTCTGGTCTCCTTGGTGTTTCCTGCCTTGTCTTTACCAATCAAGCGAAGGATGTCGCCCCAAGAATTTTGATACCACCGTATGTTGCCGTGTGCATCTGCATCGTTACAGGTATGAGTTCTGATTCTCGTAGACCAAGGCGGCGGATTACTTTCAAGCCAGCGAGGCAACTCTGACATCCCGTGTCAGCCATAGCCAGTATTGAGACGTTGCTGGTGTCTCGTGTTAGTCTAAAACCTAGGGCGGCGTAGTCCTCAGCAGTAACTTTAGCCGTCACGTTCACGAATGGTTGAGGCTTGGAGCGTTGTTTCGACCAGGAATTCGTCAGGTCGTCATAGACATGGTGGTCGATGCAAATTGAGCGTTCGATGCCAGAATCACTAACGGTACAGTGGTGATGTTGTAGCGAATCATAAACAGAGCACAATTCGTCGAACAAAGCACTTCCGGAAAGTGTGTCACGGCCTGTCACTTTGGGTTTGTCCTTGCTTCTACATACAATTTCAAAACGATGTTCGCGATGACAATGCCCACATATGTGTCTATATGCTGTACACTCTGTTCTATGTATGCGAGCAAGGGCAGATTTGCCGTGTCCTTTTTTTCCGCAATATGCACATTGCTCTGCTTTGTTGGAGGTGTCTTTGGACGACGGTCTGTCAGCCTTGCTTTTCCGGTATGAGCTGCTGGCAGCCTCAACTGGATGAGATTCTGAAAGTCTAGAAGCTGAACGTTTACCGGCCTCCTTTGATTCGGCAAATTGAAATACATCCTCAAGATTCATGTCCTGATTTTTGTGTCCTAGCAGATCAAGTTGTATTTCCGGATCGGCAATTCCCCGGATGAGTACGTCACGTATGATAACGTCAGTGTAATTGACGTCGGCTGACCACCGGGGCACTTAATCACAAACTTGCATATACCGGCCTGTCCTTTAACTCTAACACCGTAACTCCGGACAGTTTCATCACGATCCTGTCGCATATTGTGTAGCGTCACTCTTGCAACCATAGTGTTTTCCTCACGTACTGCGAGCTTTTTAATTGCAGCTAAAACCTCATCCATGGTTTTGTCAGCGAGGCTACCACCGGCTGATCGTGGCAAGTCTTTCCGTAATGGCTCGTCACAGCATTCTAGTAGCTGGATTACTTTATCGCGTCCAGTGATTTTCGTGGCACTGACACCGACCACCGAGATTGGAAATATGCCCACTCCTCGCTAGATCCTGCGGCACTGAGCGTGGGTCACTTAACTCGTTTGGGTATGTGTACAGCGGAGTGAGCCGTGATGAGTGCCGCGACGATAGTGGCATCCAGGTCATCCGTGACATAGTCGCAGTCTGTGATAGGGCAGGCTACAGCTGGCATTGTTGTGATGTGGCAATGATGCAGTTCAGTATTCCGACCGTGTTCATAAATGGGACTCTGTTCCGTTTACTTCAAATATGTTTATTCAGCAATGAACACGGTCTGAAAAGACACACAAAGTAGTGGTAAATTGCACAATGATAATTAGCATGAATTACGTATAGAAACTAATCATAACATACAATCCTCTATAAATGATCATAACCGGAAGTAGCAAAATATAGGCAAAGTAATCGATAATCATACAGTGTCATAATATTGAAAAGTCACAGTCCCGCAAACAGGAACGTTATCACATGTATAATCCCATGTTCATCACAAATGAACAACACGGAATAATTATGTCCATGTAACAAAATATTACACTGTCTCTAGCTGGCTAAGCGTAGAAATCCACCAACACATCATCGTGGTCCTGACTCCTGTCATCTCGGTCCAGTACTGCACTTGGAATGGGCTCTCCTTGCGTAGGGGTGTCAGCGTACAAAGTCCCTACGTGGTATCAATAGAATCTTGATTTAATTCATCATTGATTAAAACTTATTTCTTTAATAAGTCTAAATTAACTCTTACAGATTCGAGAAACTGATGTTGGTACTCCTCCTACTTCTCCTTTTTTTAACAACAAAAACATACTAAATGGCATTAATACACAATCAATAACACTCATTCCATTTTCACCACAGAAAGTAAAATCACTAGAAGATTGTCTAGGTCTCTACCATTTACAATTTTTAGACCCGATGATTTACATAGGTTTAACAATCTAGTACCAAATGCGTTGACTCCTGGATCAGGATTTGTTCTGATCGGCAGAAGCCTTACTTCATCGGTATCACTTAAGTAATTAAAAATGGATTCAATATGTGACTGTATACCGCTATATAAATTGTCGAATGAAATGAAATCATCTGTATTACGGGTACGACTGTTTAAATCACCTATTACCATTACGTTTCTGGATTCAGAATATTCGTTTATAACGTTTTCTAGAATTGATAAATCATCACAAGCATATTGTTCATAAAAACGAGATGAACTAGGTGGAATATATGTACATAACAATATTAGGTTGTCAGTACAACTGGTCAAACCTTGGTCAAGAGTAACCGGTATAATTGTATCAAACAAAACATGACCTACATTTACAAATTTAAGAATAGTATTACGGATTAGTAGCGCCAACCTTGTGTACAGCGTGTTAATTTCCATGGTACAACAACTGCGTGAAAGTCCTCAATCTCTACCTGCCTTTTGGAATCCAACACTCGGATAAAAAATAATATCATAATTAAGTATAACATTACGGAATTCCGCAACTTTTAGTCTATTTTCTAAACCACCATTTACGTTCCAGGAACAAATAAACTGATATCGGTATCAGACACATGTTTCGCCCGGTCACACTTGGTACTGTCGTTACCATTGACGTAGAGCCGATCACGTACCAACTTAACCCGACAGCCTTCACTTCTGTAATGCTTAAGCACAGGATACAACTTGCGACGTCTGTCCTCAATTTCCGCTGGAAATTGTTCGTTAATCCAGTATCCAGAACCCCTCGGTTTCGAAGAACTGTCTCGACCTAGTTCTGGTGAATAAATCTAGCCACTATAGGTCGATGCTTGCCGTTCACAGACTTGCCAAAACGGTGAACATTCCCAAAATCTATATGTGAATCAATCCCGAGCTCATAATAAAGGAAATCACGCAGTTTAGCCTCAGTGTCCTCCCCTGGGGTTTCTCCTTGTAGTTCATGGAATATGAGGTTGTTCTTCATGGACCTGTATTGCAGGTATATCACAAGATCCTTCAGCTTAGTTCTCTCGGAACGGAGCTCTGTTAATTCGTCTACGACTTTTGTGGTGTCAACTGCATTCTTGTCATCAGCAGCTTTGAGATTGGCCAAAGTAATGTTGTTCCGATCCAGACAAGACTTCACATCGTCATACATATCACTCAGGGCCTGGGAACCCTTTTTCATTTCATTGGACTGCCTGATAACATTGGACACAGAATCACGAATTTCCCAGTACTTAACATCAATATTCTTTATCTCATGTTCTAACTGATGGACTTTAGAGGTCAAAGAGGTCATATCCTTCTGGACTTGATCAATCTTTATGACTTGGTTTTCAATGTGGGTAAGACATGTATCTTATCTTTTAAAAAGTTCAGTCATGTGCTTCATAACAGCTGTGGAATCCTCTGAAAAACCTTCATATATCACTGTGTGTTCCTCACCATCAATGCTAGATGTAGACTGATGCTTGGTGGGGGTAGGGTTTTGGAGGCCATGGTGTATAGAACAGAGCAGACCGCTGTATAACATGTATAACATGTATAACATATGTTAGGAGTTTTTTATGAGCCCCATAGACATCATCAATAGTCAATACCATCGAAAACATATGCCGCATGAAATGGTATCTGGAAAAAAAATATCATCAAAAGGTGGGGTCAACATTTGGCCCCCACTTTGATTTCTTTTATTCTTCTGCCATATGTAGATACATAAAAATGATCAATAACTGCATAAATGATTATTCATAATTACTACTGATAACCGTAGTGGACCTCCTTGCATAACACCAGGTTGAGTGATGGGGGTATCCTAACAAAATGATAGATAAATGTCACAGGTGAATGTTATTTTGTAAATGAATTATGATAGTGTACAGTGTATAAAATTACTGTTATTTTGATACTACATATGTCATATTGGTATATATGAAGTTAGCGTAGTGATACTTTTATTTTTTAAAAAACTTGCAACATTTTCACAAAATTTGAAATATAATCAACATTGTCAACTTGCCTATATATAGTTACAGTGGTAGTCTATATTTTAAACTTCTTCAAAAACTTTCCATATATGTATTCTGTCTACTGAATCATTTTGATGAAATATAAAAACCGGTAAAGTACTTTATTAGCATGCCAAACATGATCAACGCCCAATTTCACATAATCTTGAAGATTTTATTATTAATGTTTATTATGGTAAATACCGATACATTTTCTGTTTTTGTAACATACCAAAACACTTTATTATATTACGCATGTTTTAAAGTTATGTGCAGCAGTTATAACTCATGAATATGAATTCTGCCAAAGTAATCTTTCTTCTGGAGAACTACTTAAGGTTGAGATTGTGTTATAGACAACGATATGAAATTATATAAAAATAATCAAATAATCTTAATAGTAAAACTATTATACACTTCATTATACCCCCTGCAACAAAGTTAGGGGGTATACTGGAATCAGCTTGTCTCTCTGTCCGTAGAAAAAAGATTGTCCGGACAACTCTTTCTAAAGTAAGGACCAATTATTATGTTTTCATTCTGATCCTTTTTTTTACAGAGCTATGGCCCTTTGATGAACAATTCTTGTCCAGACATGTCCTCCAAAACTAAGGGGTCAATTTCAACGAAAGTTTTCAGATATAATAACTTCCACTTGTTGGTGTGCATCCAGGTATTATTTTTTTCAATATGATCCTTTTTTACGGAGTAATGGGCCTTTGTTGAAAAATACTTGTCCTGACAACTCCTCCAAAACTATGGAGCCAATTTCCACGAAAGTTTACAGATATGGTAACTGCCCCATGCCATAGTGCATCCAAATAGTATGTTTTCATTCGAGACCTTTAAAAAGGAATTATGGCCCTTTGTAGAAAAAGAACCTTTGTCTGCCTCATAAACTACTGGGCCAATTTCAATGAATGTTTACAGATATGGTAATTACCCCCTGATGTCCTGCATCAGGGTTCGTGCATCAGGGTAGTACTTTTTTCATTTCGACCCTTTTTTCAGGAGTTATGGCCCTTGGTTAAAAAAAATATTTGTCTTGACAACTCTTCCTTAACTACTAGGACGACATAAACAAAACAGGTTCATCGGGGCTAACAAGATTTGGTATGAAAGTGTGTTTTGGCCTGGTGAGGGAGTACATGAAGTATGTCAGTAACATATATACATATATGCATAAATATTTACTTACTGGGGGGGGGGGGGGGGGGGGGNGCTATGGATTGCTTTGCAATGCTTTGCAATCCTTTGCCTTAATTAGCCTTTAGCTTACAGTTCTGGGTTATATAGTTGTGGGGTATTAGTTAGTCTTTCGCTAACAGCTCTATTTATTATTTTATTTGGCCTATTGCCCATTCATTAAACAAAAAACGGAGGAATAATTCATTATTTTATATCGTTAACTCTAAACAAATAAAGCAATGAAAAGGAATCATTGTCTGACTCCCCATACAAAAACATATTTCAGCACATTTTATTTTTGTGACCTTGGACGAAGGTCAAAATCATCAACGTTTACTAAATTTAAACCAATTAACAGGAACAACCTACTTACCAAATATCAAGACCAAAGAACTTGGTCATGAAGAAACACAAGTTAAAGGAAAAGTGGAAAGAAAGTTATGCTTTTTTCTATTTTTGAATCAAAAGTGTTATATGACAAATTTACCGGTTGTCAATTTTCTTGAAATTCCTGATGTTGAAAGATATTATTGGTTGCCAACTTTTAAACAAGTATGAGATATAGACTGGTTTTAGAACTTTGCAAATTAACGTGCCGAAAATGGAATTTCACATACTTTTCTGCTAAAATCTTCAATATAAAGAACAATTCTTTTTTGAAATAGTGTATCAAAATGAAAGTAGGAATATGTTGCACACGATGATGATATGATTTTATAGTAATTATTTCATTTAAGTGCTCTAGGAGGAATTGTGTTACCGCACCTTAACACCCACATAGGTGTAAGTCAATGAGGTCCCATTTATCCTAAAATGAATTCTGAAACTGACGGTTCCTTCTTTAAGCTTCCTATACCCATACCTTTTTGTATTTATCTTGTTTTGAAGTTCCAAGCCGGGGACCGACGCTAATATTAAATCTCCATAGGCGTTGACCCTACATTTCGAAAACGTCTAAACATTTGACTATAAAAACAGGTTGTAAATAACCTTTAAAAACTATTTAAACCAACCAGTCAAGACCGCAGTCAAAAGCCACTGTGTTAAATAAAAAAAAAATGTCTATTGCTTAAATAACTTCTGCTACAGAAGGTTTACACCTTTTGTTATAAGAGTTGGTGATTACCCAGGTTATTCGTGTCGAATCATGAGACATTATAGAGGCAGGATCACTTTATTTCATCAGTTCGGATATCAATATTTAATGCATTTTTTAGTCTGCTTATATTTAGTTACAGGACAAAAGGCTGTAATAGGATTAGCGGGCGTAAAACCTTGAAATCGGCCGTATAGAACGTGGCAGTACTAGTATGGCAACTGAAAAGGGTGCTCAGCGTACCTTACGAGCCATACCTCTTTGTCAAATATATCATTTTCATTATTTTCTTGACCCAACATTGGGTGAACCACCAACTTAGATCTTATCTAATTCCTTGGGTGACCAAACCATTTTCCTCAATGCAAGCTGTCTTTTTTTTTTAAATAGGACCATTCATCCGCATTGGGGAAACAAACTCTATTAAAGTTATATATTAAGGTTAAATACTAAATATACTTTACAATGAATGTTTTAATCATATTAATTATACGCAACGGTCGGGCGGCAATCTATTCGAAAAATTCTGCTAGTCCCGGATTTTTATAGTAGACTCAAACCCCATGCGGCCACTTATGGACGAGACTTACAGAAGATTTTGTATGAGTATTATTTGTCATGCCGCTACAATATAAATTTGTGAAAAACATTGATTTAAGTCCCACATTTTATTGTAAATGTCTAAAGTCGATAAATATTCAAAAGAATTTTAAATTTAGACATACAAAATATCCATCGATGAAAAAACGAGTTCACGACAAATGGGGTAAAAGAGTTATGTTCCCTTGATAGAACTCTTCTTCGTAAAGAAAACGTACTGCCGATGTTTACAAGCAAGCGCACAAGTCGAAGTTGATGCATGTGTATGAGAACATAAGCTGGATTGATTATATATAAAAATTAACACAAGTCTTAACTGAAACTTGAACGTACACACTGTTCATTTGTTCTAAGTTTAAAGTCATGTTTGCGCCATAAGTGGTCAACCACCAACTAAAATCACCACGCTATGGCGATCGCGATCACTGTAGAATAAAGTAGACCATCAAGATATTTTAAACAGGATTCGTGAAACCATGAACGAACTTCAGAAGCTCGAGCACCTGTCCTTGGTGTCTAAAGTCTGTACGGAGCTGGACAATCACTTGGGGCTTAATGACAAAGATCTAGGTAAAATAAAAAACAAAATGTATTGAACCCGTAATTTTCCTGTAACATAAAACATCCGAGGCGGTAATAACTATTGTATCATTTGTACATAAATGTTGTAAGGGTTTTAGAAGAAACCGGAGAGTACGTTTTGAACTCACTCCTTAAACAGTTCAAAAGATAAGTCTGATGTTGACGCTTAGCTGACCTTTCATATATCACTGTCATTGAAAATAGAACCTTAATTTCCATATGTAAACTGTCTGAAAATCAATTTAGACTGTACTTTTACGTTTGCTCTATTCTCTTACAGCTGAATTTATCATATCCTTATCGGAGAAGAATGACACCTTTGATGCTTTCAAGAAAGTCCTTTCAGAAAATGGAGCAGAATTTTCTGTGAGTATAAATTCAAAGATACTTCATGAGGTAAAAAGATGTTTTTACTACAGCCAATAACTTATGAAACTGGGGGACAATGGATTTAAAATATGAATTACGTATAGTTAAATGGCAGACTCCGTCTAGACTAGTCAACCTTAAAACAATAAAATGACAATTACCCAATTATTATATTGTAGTGGGGTCAGATTACCAATCTGCGAAAATATACCATTTGCAGTATTTGTCAAGTGTTGTCTGTTTTTTTCCTTCCACCAGGACTCTCTGATTGCCAACCTGCTGAGGTTGATACACAAGATGAAACCAAAACCACGAGAAAAAGAGGCAACAGATGACAGCTACAAGGAAAACCAGAGAGACGAGGACACAACCCTGAAGAGGAAGCTGTATCCAGGATTAGCTTTAGCAAATGACCAACAAAGCAGGGTAGGAGAAACAGGTTTTAAGAAATATTGTCACCATTTCTAGCTTGGAGTACGTACAAATGTATGTATGTACTAATTATATATAAGTAGTGGACTTTGTCTTTTTTTCTACTAATTATGTCTCCCCTTCGAATGAAGGGAGACATATTGTATTAGTACTGGTTCTTCTTCTGGTTTTTCTGGTTCTTCTAATCACTACTTGTCCGGGCCATAACTTCTAAACCATTAAAGATATCTTAATCAAACTCGAGTATACCTGCATCACCCACAGAAGGTGTGCAGTGCACTGGAACTAGGTCTCGTGTCCCACTTTATACAGAGTTATAGCCCTTTGTTTATTTTAATACCAAGATATCTCTATATAAAGAGATATGGCCCTTTGTTAATTTTTATACTGAAGTTTGTCTATTAATTGGCTAATAAGGCGAGACATATGTTTTTGTTCACAAAAACAAAATTCTAGTTAAATAACTGAAAATAATTTGATGAAGTTTTAAGGTTTGTGTGTTACAGCTTGAGGTTATGTTCTGTACCGCACTTACGTCGGTGTGACTAAGATTAAAGTTACAGTAATCTTCAAAGGTTCAGGGTGTGTCACATACCTCAAGGTCAAAAGGGCATTGGGGGTATAGATACCTGTACCGGTATATGTATAGCGCTGCTAGGTTCCTATCTCCGGAGTTAAACATGTGTAGTTCTGTTTGTTTCTGTTCACATATGTTTTTATTCTTTCAAGAATAATTGTGTTATTTACAAGTTAATTTTAGAGTTATAGTGATATCTGAGTTAAGTGCTGTTTTGTTGTCCTCCTGGCTTTTGTAAAACTTATACAGACTAACAGAAGTCGGATCTGCTGTTTTACTACATCAAATGAAGGTGAAGTAATCTACCAGCATTGAAGTTAAAAAAATGACAGAAAAGTTGTTTTGTCTAATAGATTGCTATGGAAATGTAATTACAAATCTTTGGTCAATTTATTTTCTCTGTTTTCAGCGTTACAACATAATTGACATATGATACTTACCTGTATCTTATCTTAGCTGTTGTGAGGATGCAACACCCTAAATAGAGTCGCAAACAAACAATAATTCAGATTTTTTTAGAAAAAATTGTGGACTGTATAATACTGTTCATATTCTTGAAACCTTTTTGTAGAAATTGTTGGAAGATATTAAAGAGGAAGAAATGGAGGAGACTGATGATATAAAGAAAGAAGACACAGAAGTAGCAGATGACATGATGGGTGAATTGATGGCCCTTATGGCTAACCCTCCGCCTGATAATCAAAGGTAACATATAGATTCACAATTTTCTAGATTGGTGGATTGTAGTGGAATCCGTATTCTGACTCTAACTGCACAATAAGTACGGACTGAGGAGTTGACATGTGCCTGAAGCTGGTAGACATACACAAATTTAAAGTGTGGTTGAAATTTGTTGGTATAAATTCTGAAAAGATTCTTGGATGTTCTGATGGTAGAGTTTACAAATCTTTTAAAAAACTAATCACTATCTTGATTCCATGGCCAAAAATCCTTGTCTTTTATTTACTAACAAACAGCAGAAGGTTACAGTGGTTGGCATATGCTTTTTTTTTATCTTTCTATTATTGAGAGAACCTCTTTATGCTTACCTAATAACCTATTTTGTAGTGAGCGTTCTCATACGCAAAGACAGAATACATGTACATTAACTATCAAGTACCAATATCATAATCTGTAGTGTAGATTGTTAGAGAACTATCATTACCTTTTCTGTTATAAACTTATTTGCTGTCCAAGTGTTCTCTCATCAATATTATTCAATTATAGCCTTTGGCTGAGGTCGATACCTGGATTTATCAACCCAAGAAAAGATATATTAACAGAGGATGCAGTCCGAGGTTAATATATCTTTTCTTGGGTCAATAAATCCAGGAATCGACCGAAGTCAAAGGCTACAATTGTTTTATTATTTTCAAAACAGTAATGTTAGCAATCTGAAAAATAAAACACAGCAAAAAGCTACAGACAATACGTTCGTTTGGAGACATGTCGTTATTCTATTTTTAGAAACACCCAGTCCTTCAACAAAAATCACGCGCTCCAAGTCAATATCGGTTTTTATCTGTGGACACGTGATTCACTTCTGGCCTATCACTTGTCAGGAATAATATGAAAAAATAATAAGTATAAATGCCGTTGTTATTATTGACAGTGATGACAAACCTAAGGAACATAAAAGCAGACATAGTCGCAGTAGAAGTCGAGAGCGAGACAGAAAACGTAGCCGCAGTAGAGAACGTGACAGGAAAAGGTAACTCTTGGATCTTTTAGGGGGGAAAAGCATAGTTGTTTATGTTCATTACCGGTATACAATTCCACATCGGCTGTAAGAACACTTCTTTATCACAATAGTTCATTTGGCTAACAAGCTGATATTTGTTCTGCCCATAATTTTTTGCATCACCCAAAAAAGGAACAAAGAGGAATTACATTTCCTGTCTTCACAAATTGTCATTGGCATGGACAAAGAGATTTGTTTAGTCCAGATAATATCTTTTAAAGGCAATACATGTACAGTTTATTGATGAGATTTGCCTGGGATGATATCTACCTATGTCTCTCTATATACATATATGCTTTGATATCATTGCTTGGCTAAAGTCATGATATTTATTGAGGCTGCTGCAATTTGACTTCTGACGGTGTCAAGGTTATGTATCTTTTGAATTAATTGTCAGCTTTTGATGACATTTACAAAGCTGTCTTCTTTCCAAGTCTCTCACACATCATTTTAAGTACTTGACCAAATTTGTGTATGTGTATTAAACTGATGTGATCTAATTGGCTGATAAATTCTAGATGTAAACTAGAAAAGAATTATCCGATTTTAGTGGAATTTCCTAGTAGACCTTCTATCCAAGTCACTGATCCAGTTTATGCAAGTTAGGTTTGGTTTTATAGAGTTTAACATCCTATCAACAGCTACGGTCATTTTAAGAACGTGTTTATACAAGTTCCTGTTTACTAAATGTTTCTTTTATATAATAAATATAACATATTTATTTTAACAAATCCTATTTACAAATTAATGAATGATCATATCTTTCTAAGACACAAACACAATCGTCGGTCAAGAAGTCGATCACCTAGAGACAGAAAACGAAGTCGTAGCCGTGACAAGCGACGGGACAGATCAAGGTCAAATGACCGAGATAGGAAGCACAGAAGACGGTCAAGGAGTCGAAGTAGGGAGAGACAGAGTAAATACTATCGAGACGAAGAAGACAGAAAGGACCGATACAGGGGAGGGAAAAGTAAGAGAGAGCAGGGGTCAGATGATGAAGAGATTCCGATGGAGCCTGTTGTTGGCAGGGTAGGTAAATTTGTTCTTAAAATCTAACATTTTAATAGTTTCTGTTGTATTGTTACAAGGAACCTTAGATGTCAGTAATGTATTTACTAATTTCAAAAGAAGCTGTGTTATATATACTGATAGTAGGATATAATGGGGGAATACATATTGTCACTACCTTGTGCCAAACACATCGTCCAACCCTGCCATGGACTTGACCACTGTCAAATTGATCGGGTGACCCAGTGGTTAGCACACTAGCTTTTCACCAAGGGGACTGGGGTTTGATTCCCCGATGGGATGTGAAAAGTAATGGAGTCACCTACCCCTTCACATGGGTTTTCTCCGAGTACTCCAGTTACCTCCCACATGAAGACCCTGCACGCTAACATCAGAGACAACAAGAGTGATTAATATAAGTTGAAACGACTTGTTTCATAATTGTTGTAAAATGAATAAAGTTTATATATATATATCAGGTCAGATGATTATCATTTTCCTGCTGACTGGAGAATAGAAGTGTTTTATCATTGTTATTATAGTAATCTTTGTGTTGAGATTGTTAATACAACAAAGCTTTATATATTTAATACTGAGTGCTTGATGCTGACCTGAAAACAGCTGCCAGATACGGAAATTGAGTAATTTTTGAGGAAGTTGTATTTGTTTTTACTTCATGTATATAATGCAAATACAGTTATTAATTGAGATGATATTTGGTGTTGATTGGCAATTAAGGAGGGATTCCATTGACAATTAAAGAGGGATTCCATTGACAATTAAGGAGGGATTCCATTGACAATTAAGGAGGGATTCCATTCATATATTGATGATGTGTGTTAAGTATTCATATAAATATGTATTATATACCTTAGTGAGTATAAGAACAATCCACATTATCATTCTAAGTAAAATTGCAGCCAAATCAAATAACACATGCTACATGTGTTTTTGTTTCTTTTGTGGGTATCCATATTAAATTACATAATAAAATATTCTCTAACATCTCCGTAATGAATCTTCAGTTATTACAATTTCCTTGTTGCTTGTTTTCAGATATTCAAGGGAAGGGTGACGACTATTATGCAGTTTGGTTGCTTTGTACAGCTTGAAGGTCTTAGGAAGAAATGTGAAGGACTTGTTCATATATCACAGGTATGTACATTTTTGTACATGAACTGAAAATATGAGTTAAGTTATATTTAAATATTACTGGCAAATGTTTAGCTAAAATTGTAAAAGTTAAATCATATTATTTACATACAATAAGACATGTTCAACTTGAACAAGTCAGAGGAAAAATAAGGTTATCCAAACATTTAACCATACAATATTCAACAAATAAACGCAAGTAAAAGCTGGTGATTAAAATCTCAAAGATAAACAAAGCAGAAAGGTGCATGTTTATTTTTATTTATATTTTTTTTGGGGGGGGGGTGTCCATTTCATATGCATGTTTTTAATATTGCATTTATATACATGCACAATTTATTGGTAAGCACTTATTCAGCTGTAAAACGAGGACAATTTATATCTATCCAAACTTGCTACATTTTTTAACAAATTTTAATGCTTTCAAATGTTCTGTTCATTTGTATAATATTTATGATAAATTTTCCTGTGATCCTTACAGCTGAGGAGAGAGGGACGAGTGACAAAGGTCAGCGATGTGGTCCAACGAGGTCAAAAGGTCAAGGTCAAAGTGCTGTCATTTACTGGAAGTAAGACAAGTCTTTCAATGAAGGTATGTCAACCCATATTTGTGGATCTATCCTTTTGGAGCGAGTATCCAATAATACCATACATACTTTCAAAAATGGATCATTCAGTTGTAAGCATCACATATACAGTTAGCCAGTGTATACTATATTGCATTCAATAATGCTACATTCACGTATCCCGGTTGAAACGGTAAGTGTGGCGCAGCAATTTTTACTGTCTTTGTTTTAAGGACAAAGTGTTGTGACAATGTTTTGTTTCCTTTTTACAAGGGAAATATAAGATTTTCTGTAGTAAAACATTATATTTTTTAGTTTGACAAATAACACGTTGTTATTTTCCTAAAGTAATTGGCCAAATGTCCTAGCACAAAGTGTCAGTATGAACACAGTTATATATTTTTCTGCACTGATCCAATTTTTACATAGGATGTAGACCAGGATACAGGGGAGGACTTGAACCAGGAGAGAACAAGGTCACTGCTTGGTGGAGAGTTAAAGGATGAAAGTGAGGCTTCTCGTAATCCTGACCGCCCGTCCACTCTACCAATGATGGATCTGCCCGAGACAGACAAAACACAGGACAAGAAGCGTGTCCAGCGAATTTCTTCACCAGAAAAGTGGGAAATCAAACAGATGATAGCTGCTAATGTTATTGACAAATCAGAGCTACCCGACTTTGATGAGGATACTGGTCTACTTCCAAAAGAGGAGGATTCAGGTTTGTTGAGTATTGTAAGGGAGAATTTTGGGGCCTTATATAGGCACCTACCATTAGATAATTTCAGCTTTAGTTTTCCAAAATCAATTTGTTGGTTATATTTTCCAAAAGTCTAAAGGCACAGTCCCCCGTGAAAAGGACATAGAAAAATCACTGAGCTATGAAACAAGTTATATTAGCTTACAATAAACACTGTTGTTGGCCTGGTGGTAGCACACAGAGGGTCTTTATGTAGGAGGAACCTGAGAACCCAGAGAAAACTTATACCGTCAGGCAGGTGACCACACCTTTTCATGTCTGATCAGGGAATTTATCAAACCCCAACTGTCTTGGTAAAAGGCGAGTATGCTTTCCACTGCACCTCGTGACCACCCTGCACTACTCAATCACTCAATGTTTTATTTTATTTTGCAATTCTGATGTGTGTCATTGGAGCTTACAAATTTCATTTTAAACTAAATAGCATGGAATGTTTCTGATCAGACAATATTTAAAAGAAAACCAGGATGTTTTTGTTTGATAGTAGAATGTCATATAATTAACTAAGTCTTAAAAAAAAAAGTTAGAATCATACAAAATGAATTCAGAGCTATGTTTTGCATGTGGCCCAGTTATATTACATTTAATGTTAATGTCCCATTAATTATGATACAACCATTTATACAGATGAGGATGTGGAGATTGAACTGTTAGAGGAGGAACCTCCTTTCCTCAGTGGACACGGGCGAGCAGGAATCGACCTGAGTCCTGTCAAAATTGTCAAGGTAAGTAAAATTGTCTCCATTTATAGATTTAAACTTAATTTATTTGACAACAATTATGCAACACGTTTTCCAATATATATTAATATCTGTGGTTGGCCCACAATGGTCACCATTTGCTGGTCAGTTTGGAGTTGAACATGTTGCCTTACAAAGCCAATGAGATCCAATGTCCATGTTCTATTAAGTCCTAAGGTTCTGTAGCCTTCCACGTATGGATTCCTAATGGAATTTAGTAGTTCAGCTCTAAAAGTAATCAAATTTCAAAGTACAGCTGACTGAACAATAGCCACAAGAGAGTAATATGCGATTTTCAGTTTAAAGATTAAGAACAATTTATCTACACATATAAATGACATTCTATCTCTTTTAGATGAAATGAAATACTTAGGTTTTAGTTACAGCCTAAAGTTATTCCACAAATATATTTTAGAGATTACATAAAAAAACATATATTCTCGTTTCCAGAATCCTGATGGTTCACTGTCCCAGTCCGCCATGATGCAGAATGCCCTTCAGAAAGAGCGGAGGGAGTTGAAACAGGTTCAACGAGAGGCAGAAATGGGCAGTGTCCCGGCAGGTCTCAACAATCACTGGATAGACCCCATGCCTGAAGGTGAGTCAGACTTTAAACTAAAAATGGCTGGTATTACCTCGAAATACAAATGATACTTCCAATAGTAAGATTCAGAGATTTGGTTTTCAATTTGATAAAAAATCTCAGTTCTATTGAATTGTTTTATTTATGCTGCCGTCTCTCTTAACAAGACCCAATCAAATTCAGAATTTTATTATAAACCAACAAAATAATTGGGTTCCAACATTGAAAATGGATGAGGATAGACTCTTACAATCCCAAAAATTATCCCATGCCAGCAAGATGATACGGTAACAGTGCTGTCTGGAATACCTGACTCTTACTATCAGAAAAATTATCCCATGCCAGCCAGATGATACAGTAACAGTGCTGTCCGGAATACCTGACTCTTACAATCAGTAAAATTATCCCATGCCAGCCAGATGATACGTTTACAGTGCTGTCCAGAAAACCTGACCCTTTCTATCAGTAAAATTATCCCATGCCAGCCAGATGATACGGTAACAGTGCTGTCAGGAATACCTGACTCTTACAATCAATAAAATTATCCCATGCCAGCCAGATGATACTGTAACAGTGCTGTCCGGAATACCTGACTCTTACAAGCGGTAAAATTATCCCATGCCAGCCAGATGATACGGTAACAGTGCTGTCAGTAATACCTGACTCTTACAATCAATAAAATTATCCCATGCCAGCCAGATGATACGGTTACATAACAGTGCTGTCCGGAATACCTGACTCTGACAAGCAGTAAAATTATCCCATGCCAGCCAGATGATACGATAACAGTGCTGTCCAGAATACCTGACTCTTACAATCCCAAAAATTATCCCATGCCAGCCAGATGATACGGTTACATAACAGTGCTGTCTGGAATACCTGACTCTTACATTCAGTAAAATGATCCCAGGCCAGCCAGATGATACGGTTACATAACAGTGCTGTCCAGAATACCTGACTCTTACAATCAGTAAAATTATCCCAGGCCAGTCAGATGATACGGTTACAGAATAGTGCTGTCCAGAATACCTGATGAGACCCAATTTTTTAGTAGAATTGTTTTAATAGCAGAACACATTGTTTAATTAGATGCCTTATGACAAAACAGACTGAAAATAATAAGTATATACTACATTGTATTTTGATATTAACAGCTGAAGGACGACAACTTGCTGCAAACATGAGGGGCATTGGAATGACTCCAAACGACATTCCAGACTGGAAGAAGCATATCACAGGGGGACAGAAGGCGTCTTACGGTAAAAAGGAGAATAAGTCTTTACTAGAACAGAGGCAGGGTCTACCCATCTACAAACTCAAGGAGGAACTTGTCAAGGTCAGTAGGACACTTTTAACTCAGTAAGATGGGGGCCAGACTCAGGCAAGGATCAAGCCATAGGTCATTAGGGGTTAAGTTCATTGTTATAACAGCCTATTGCTCTTGTTCCTGTTATCTCAGGGTTAAATAAAAAGATCCAATTATTTAGCGAGATTTGTACATCTTTTATCAAATCATCCTAGCAAAACACAAAATATCTAAGGAAAGTTTCAATTGAAAAAAAAAAGTTATTTTAAAACAGGTTCCTATGTGATATTAAAGTGTAAAAATGTGCTTCACTAAATATTTGTAGAGATATGAATTCATGATTGTCTCTTAAAGTGACATAATGCAAAAAAAAATTGGCAAAATATTGTTTAATACTACCGAAATAGTTACATATTAAATAACTTATTTGCAATTCTTTAAATATGTATCTTTGTAAACTTTATATTCAGGCTGTCAGTGACAACCAAGTGTTGATTGTGATTGGGGAGACAGGGTCAGGGAAGACAACTCAGATCACACAGTACCTGGCCGAAGCTGGGTACACAACACGTGGGAAAATAGGATGTACCCAGCCCCGTCGTGTAGCCGCTATGTCTGTTGCCAAGAGAGTATCAGAGGAGTTCGGGTGTCGCCTGGGTCAAGAGGTATGTTTATTGTCAAATTTCAGGGAAGGAATGAGGTCAGTCTGTCTGTCCGTCTTTTTACTTTTTGCGTGATATCCTGTGAAGATGAGGTCAGATTTTGATCAAACTTTGATGATGTATTACTTATTCAAATCCCTCTTTCAGATTTAATGAACAGCAATATCTATGCATATTTAATGATGGTGCTGCATTCTGATTGGTCATACACATGGCGTGCTGCATTCTGATTGGTCATACACATGGTGGGCCCTTGCTGACCTGTCAGTCAGTGTTCTAGTTTATAAGGATGGTAAATGATCAGAAATTCTCCTGACATTCTTCTTTTAGCTCAACAATTATGATATTATGTACTGATATTATTTTGCTTGATATAGCAGACCACTGTTTTGTTTACATCACAACTTCCGCTGAATAGAAGTGACTTTGTCTGAAATTGATGTGTTGAACTTGAAGAAATAAAAAAGAGAAAACTAAACAGTTATAATCAGCCTTGAGACAGACATTTGATTACAAATGATCTACTTTGCATTTCATTAAACTTTTCTCCAGAGATATGGAGGTATCACTAATCTAAAACAATATTTAAATCCCTGAATAGAAGACAAGAAAATGAGAGAAGTCCTATGAATGCTAAATGACGGGAACAGTTGATATCAGATACATTTATAATATGATTTTATTTTTTAAGGATAAATATTTTAACAACAATTTCCCCCTGCATGTGTTATAGGTTGGTTACACGATGCGTTTTGAGGACTGTACGAGCCCAGAGACAAAGATTAAGTACATGACAGATGGTATGTTGTTGAGAGAATGTCTGATAGATCCGGACCTCCTGCAGTACGCCATCATCATGTTGGACGAGGCTCATGAACGTTCCATACACACAGATGTCCTGTTTGGACTCCTCAAGGAGGTACATGCTTGTTCAACAATTTCTCAATTATAAAATATCTGAAAAGATGGAAAAAAATAGTTGATTTTCAATTATAGTTTTTCTGCGTCTCTTGATCGTTTTTGTGGTCTTTATAGCCAATTAAAACCTTGATTCCTAATAAATAACTTATGTTACAGGAGTTACAATAAACACAATTTTGGCAATTGATACTAAAATTCAAGGTTCACACTTTAAGGATGATCTCAAATCTGGACCCAACAATTTGAGCATATATTATTGAATAATATTATTAGCTAATATTTGGATATGCCTACAGATATAAAGAATATGAAATTATGGGTAATATTAAAAAAGCACCGGTTTTACTAATTTTACTGTCTGAAATAAGATTTTGAAGAGTCACACAAGTGACATCTTAAAATTAGCATAAATATTGAAACCAACCTGAGGAAAGTATATATGTAGCAAAGATATATGATTTTATAAATGACCGTTTTCTTCAATATTATAGAATACAGCATGTTCATTGACATTTTATTGTAGGCGGTCAAAAAACGTAAAGAACTGAAGCTGATCGTTACTTCTGCCACGCTAGATGCTGTCAAATTTTCACAGTACTTCTTCGAAGCAGTAAGTACAATTTTCAACAGATATCTAGACTGTTGGGTGCTAGTGCTTGTTTTGAATTCAATAAAAGTAAAGGAAAGAAAAGAATTGAAGAATTTTATATTTAAGGATGACAATTTTCTTTGTTTCAAAGCCGTATAATACATTGTAAAACAATTTTGCAGCTTTCAAACTTCATTATACCAATAAATATATAAATTAACTAATATATACGTTCTCACCATCCATGTTAAAGTGGATATTTCTCCACCCTTAATGTTCCTTCTTACAGCCCATCTTTACCATCCCTGGTCGGACATACCCAGTGGAGGTGCTATACACAAAAGAGGCTGAGACAGACTACTTGGACGCTTCCATGATCACAGTAATGCAGATACACCTTATGGAGCCGCCAGGTAAGTGCACACCTGTCACAGGTGTATACTCATATATACAGAAGTCCTGTGTAGGTGTGGGGACATGATGTTCAATCTACAGACGCATTATACTGTACATTAACTTTACATTTTATAGGTTATTTCCCATTCAATGCAGCCATAAATACTAACACTACTTTATTTTATTTTGCCCTAAACAATGTCATTAATCAGTCATACAAACCATTCTGACTTCATCGCAGAAAAGTTGTATTATTAATAGCTTTGATTTTTGTTAAGTGCTATAGTTGGAAATATTTTAAAGTTTCATAATTTTGAATAATGTAAAGTAAAAGCCTTAGAATGATTTTCATTTTTCCTTGTAAAATTGTGAAAGGAATTTAAAAAGGCTTACACTTGTATTGTTTAAGTTTGTATTCAACTTGAGTGTATATTTTTGAGTTAAACATTTTATATGTGTATCAACAACACTTTTTATCTCCTTGAACAGGTGATGTCTTACTCTTCCTCACTGGTCAAGAAGAAATTGACACGGCCTGTGAGATCCTGTACGAGCGAATGAAGGCCCTCGGTCCTGAAGTCCCAGACCTTATCATTCTCCCTGTGTACAGTGCTCTTCCCAGTGAAATGCAGACCAGGATCTTTGAGCCGGCTCCTCCTGGGTCTAGGAAGGTGGTTATTGCAACTAACATTGCAGAAACATCGCTCACAATAAACGGAATTTATTACGTTGTAGATCCTGGATTTGTGAAACAGAACGTTTATAATTCTAAAACTGGAATGGATCAGCTGATTGTTACTCCAATCTCACAGGTAACGACTTTACTAATATTACAATCGTTAGTGAATTATTTAGAGATTTATTTGATGTTAAATTCATTAATGATCAAATTAAGTCAGAAAGATTTAGTTTATTTTTTGTACTTGCTTGAAATTTGCAGGGAATGTTAATTTTGATTTTTACTTTTATATCAACCTCGATATTCAAAATATCACAAAAACTGACATGTTAGAAATCTGTAATGGACTAAGTTTTATACAATTGTATGTTCATATCTCTAACCCAGGCTCAGGCTAAACAGAGAGCAGGCCGGGCAGGACGAACTGGTCCTGGTAAATGTTACAGACTATACACAGAGCGAGCATATCGTGATGAGATGCTGGCCACAAACGTCCCGGAGATCCAGAGGACTAACTTAGCCAGTACTGTGCTGTCCCTGAAGGCGATGGGCATCAACGATCTACTGGCATTCGCCTTCATGGACGCTCCGCCAATGCAGACATTAATCTCAGCAATGGAACAACTGCATGCTCTCACTGCCCTGGATGATGAAGGTCTGCTGACCAGACTTGGACGTAGGGTAAGTAAACAGTCTGTTTTCCCAATCAAGATAGCGGTCATTTTTTACATCAACTGACATTACAGACCTTACTGTCATTAACTGACATTAACCGACATTCACTGACATTAACCGACATTAACTAACATTAACCGACATTAACTGAAACACATTTTCTCTGCAGATAAATTAATTTTAAAGGCTAAGTTTGTTTTGAACACAAACAGGAGTTGAAAACTTAAACAAAATAAGTTTTTGATTCCTGTTTGTGTTAGAAACAAATTTAGCCTTTATCATTCATAACTAACTGATGAAACTTATTCCAAAAATTAATCTTAGTTTTCACAATTAATTATTTGACAGTTTTCTCAATCGGAAAGCATCATCAACGATTATTTGACTTTTCTTCCTGTCATTGTGAATGAATTTTTGACTTGCTGTCATAAAAAGTTTATTGTTTTAAAAAATTTCTGAGATGTAACAGCTGACAGTTTTATTGATCGCTGAGTTCCTCTTGGTGTCAGGAATCATTTTTCAGATGAAAATGTGGCATTAATTAAGCAAATTGTCATTTGTGACATTAAGTGAAATGTGAAATTAAATGAAACACATTTCTCTGCAAATATAAACTTAATTTAAGTTACAAAGAGGAGTTAGTGTCAAACTATTTGGTATGGAACTAAATTTGGAGGGGGAAATAGTTTTATGAATAGGTGATATGTTTTTAGAAAATGTGACATAAAGCATCTCAACAAAAAATGGTATTCTTTATGTGAATGATTTGCAGTTTGACCAGGAAGTGGTCTTTCCCAGGATAATGGAACTCTTAATGAATATGAATGTTTATAGCAGAGTTCTCACAATATGAAGACATAGAGTGAAGTTCTTGTGAAGGAAAAATTGTAACAGATTTAATGTCCAATGTTTACTTTAACAATGTAATATCACTATATTATATATGACATATGTCTTGTTGATTTTCATTCAAAAATACATAATATTTTGATAATTCCTGGATACAACATTCACTCAGAAGTCAGATTAATCTTAATCATTGATAGATTGTAGAACAGTCAAGTATGTGAGAAGAATGGAAGAATGGATGTAGCATTTTCTTAAGTTGAAACGGGGATATAATTGCATTTTTTATTTATTTTTGTACACATATCTGGAATAATCACTTCCACATAGTAATATTAAAAAGGTAAATATTTTAATCAAAATATATTTATTTCTGTATTTTATCAGATGGCCGAGTTTCCACTGGAGCCGATGTTATCAAAGATGTTGATCATGTCTGTCCATCTGGCATGCAGTGACGAAATTCTCACAGTTGTGTCCATGTTGTCTGTACAGAACGTTTTCTACAGACCCAAGGTAGGTCATTGTGTATGACCCAAGTTAAAGAAATCGTGTGTACCCAAGGTAGATAACTCTGCTTTACTTACACAACTAAGATGAGAGTAACAGCCTCACACCACAATTAATTTCCCTATATGTTCTTACCAAAGAGATACCATTTAAAAAACCAGTTTTATAATCTTGCTCAAACCCGACTGTTATAGGTTTTGTTCAGGTATCCAAGACACGTTAGTGGTGAGCTGGACAAATATTCATGACTGACATTTTTTAAATGATAATCATGTCAACATAACCCTGTTGTACTATGATATGACCCTAAAAATTCATGCTCAGGGAACCAACAACATACCATATTCTTCTGCCATTTTGGTACGACAGATAGTTTCAATTCATTCACATGAAATAAATAAAAGTAAAAACTCATTTAAAAATTAGCCTAAAAAATGTGAAATGCACTACAATCGTGTACAACGAACCAGAAGCATTACTGAAATCAGAGGCCTTATACCTACACAAGTTAGATAACTCTGCTTTACTTACACAAGTTAGATAACTCTGCTTGTTAGATAACTCTGCTTTACCTACACAAGTTAGATAACTCTGCTTTACTTACAAACGTTAGAAACTCTGCTTTTGTAACACAAATTAAATAACTCTGTAATACTGTAACAAGTAAGATAGTGGTTGGCAATTCAATAAAGACTCAATAGATAACTGTTGTTAATTGTCATTTCAAGAATAGTTTTCCCTTTCAAGTTTGTCTGAACTTGATTGTCGAAAAATGAAGAATGATTGAGTCTATCATATTGAGAGGTATGTGGATATGGATATTCTACTCCTGGGTGTAAAATTTGGTGTCAAAATATGCTTACCTGGTAATTTACAAATTAAGCAGAATTTGCTGTCATCTAGTTGGACTATTCCACATGAGCGCTCTAGATGGGACACATTTACACACGTGGGAGAACACTTAGTGTGCATGCATATGTTGTTGTTTTTCCAGGACAAGCAAGCAATGGCTGATCAGAAGAAGGCCAAGTTTCATCAGTCAGAGGGTGACCATCTGACACTGTTGTCTGTCTATAACTCATGGAAAAACAACCGCTTCTCGAGTCCCTGGTGCTATGACAACTTTGTCCAAATACGCACACTAAAACGGGCACAGGATGTCCGCAAACAGATGCTTGGCATTATGGACAGGTATGCAAGCATGGCCAAAATGATATTAAGAGAATGCAATGATAGCTATGTGTGCCATTATGATATTAAAGAAACAGAAGGATTTCCATTAAGATATTAAAGGTATAGATAGCAATAGGGATAGTAAACATTATTTAAAGGTATGTAATCATTCATGAGAATCTCTTTACCTGTGATGTTTTAGATTGTAAAATGAATAATAATTGCTATATCCCCAATTTAAGTGTCTCTGGATATTAACTGTCGAACTTCCATAAATGTGTCATGTGACTTATGGCAGAAATAGGACATTTCCTCTTGAATTACGTTGCTATTTTTGTTTTCATCAATAAATTTTTTGAGTCAAGTTGAAATGTTTTGAAGTATAATAAACATCCATTCATTATAAAATCATTGAAAATTCAAAATAACAAATCGAAGTGAAAAAATACCTGTACATTAACATGGGCAATTGATAACCGTGCAAACAAAGGACTTGGACATTTTTTTAAACAATAGAAATACTGCAGGACCTCACAAAAATTCTCATTGCCTATAAGCCAAAGCAATTTTTTTCTCAAAAAAATAGGAAAATGGATTTTATAAGAAGGAATGCTCAGATAAAAAAGGATATTGCGTGTTTGTAATAGAAAGTGGCATTTATTAGGTTGAATAACTTATTATGGAACAATTAGCTTGATATAAACTCTTAAGTTGTACAAAGGATCCTTCTTCTTCAGTTAAGATTAATAATATTCTTATATCCCAAGTCACATTATTTATAGAAGCACTCCTATTTTTTATTTCCCCATTAGACACAAGCTAGATGTGGTAAGCTGTGGAAAGAATACTGCTCGGGTACAGAAGGCCATTTGCAGTGGATTCTTTAGAAATGCTGCCAAGAAGGACCCCCAGGAGGGTTATAGGACACTGGTAGACAGCCAGGTAGTCTACATACATCCGTCTAGTGCCCTGTTCAATAGGCAGCCAGACTGGTAAGTACTGACCCTAATTTCTAGGGAAAAATATAACTTTTTCACAAAAGGAGGCAATGCTGTCATACTTTCAGTAATATATATATATATACTATTTATATACTATTATATATAAAGTCAGTAATATATATTATTAAATTGTTTTTATATATATTTTTTTCAATTTCAACGAAAAATAAGGAAAATGCTGGGAGAATATTTTCATACATTTAAAAAAGCAAAATCTGAATATTTTAACAGAAATAAGTGTTAAGCATCTGTATCAAATTCATGTATCATTATCACATGACCAACCCTTTTACTGGAAACTTGTGACATACTCTGAGTGAATATTCAATTATGAAGTATGTTTGTCATGAATCGGTAAGGACGGTCATTTTGTGAAATTTGAATAATATACTTGATTCAAACTTTTTAAGATGCATCGTACAACCAAATATATGTGAAACAATGCTTCTGCACTAATCAAATTGATGGAGACATAACTGATGTAATTCTTTGTTGCTAGGGTGATATACCATGAACTGGTGCTAACGACAAAGGAGTACATGCGTGAGGTGACAGCCATCGATCCAAAATGGCTGGTGGAATTTTCGCCCAAATTCTTCCGATTTGCCGACCCAACAAGACTAAGCAAGCACAAGAAGCAGCAGAAAATTGAACCCCTGTACAACAAATATGAGGAGGCAAACTCATGGAGGATTTCACGGGCTTTCAAGAAGGTTCACACCAAAGTCACGTTCTGAGGCTCTTAGTACAGACATACATAGGAAACAATTCCTGTAGGATCTCACCTACTCTATGGAAAGCTCATCATTAGAGACTCGTTCTGAGGCTCTTTGGAGGGACCTATATAGGAAACAACTCACGGAGGATCTCATGTGTTTATTGAATGGTCCTCACTTCATTCTGAGATCCTTAGGACAGACCTACTGTACATAGGACACAATTCCTGTAGGATCTCACCTACTCTATGCTAAGGTCATCACATTAAAGACACATTCTGAGGCTCTTTGGAATTGGTTGATACCATACTTTCTTTTGCCAATGGTTGAGGTTGAATAGCTTGTACACGATACAAAACTGTTTTCTTTCTTGTTTAAGAAATTACCAACAATGCCGTGTTCTGAAGTGTCTTGGGAAACATTTCTGGCAATACCATATACATGACATATTGCCCCGAATTGTTACACTACAGGACCTGTGTTCGTCCGAGGACGTGTACATTGTTTTGTTACACTACAGGACCTGTGTTCGTCTGAGGACGAGTACATTGTATTGTTACACTACAGGACCTGCGTTCGTCTGAGGACGTGTACATTGTATTGTTAGACTACAGGACCTGTGTTCGTCTGAGGACGTATACATTGTATTGTTACACTACAGGACCTGTGTTAGTCTAAGGACGTGTACATTGTATTGTTACACTACAGGGCCTGTGTTCGTCTGAGGACGTGTACATTGTATTGTGACACTACAGGACCTGTGTTCGTCTGAGGACGTGTACATTGTATTGTTACACTACAGGACCTGTGTTCTTCTGAGGACGTGTACAATGTATTGTTACACTACAGGACCTGTGTTCGTCTGAGGACGTGTACATTGTATTGTATGTTTCATTGGACATCGAGAATCTCCATCAAATGAAGTATAGGTCAACATGACAAATTGCCCACTGTTATGACACTACAGGATCTGTGTGTTAATTATATAAGTTATCTGAGGATTACGTGATTGTACATGTATTACTGTACGGAACCAGGTCTTACAGTATGAGCTGACCATTCTGATATTTTATGTATAAGCCTAATTTTACTGATATCAGAAAAATAAAACTGTGTGTTTCCTGTCAACATTATTCATTGGACAATAATTTTGAAAGAAATTGAAAACTTCTATAAATCACTCCAGTTGGCCTGAATTGAAGCCTGAAGGTGTTTTAGTATGGGAGGAAATTGGAGTACATGTACCAAAAACACCCAAGTGGCTGGGAAAATGACTCGATGGCTTCATATCTGATCAGGGAATCAAAAGATGCTGTCTTGTTAAAATGTGAATGTTCTAACTGTTCGCTACCTGGCCACTGTTATAAGATACCAATAAATACAGGATAATGGAAACAACTTGTATTTTGTTATGGACGTAATATCAATTTACAAGAAACATTGATCACATATTGATGTGCGGTTACACCTGTCTATACAGACCATCTAAGGATTCAGAAGAAAGCAAAAACGTTCTAGATGGACTTGTAGTCATTGTAGACAAGTTATTGATAAAATGAAAAAAGTTCTCGGGGAATTATTGAATTAGTAATTATATACAGGTAGTGTTATGTTATGATAACTGTTTAGAGACATAATCTCCCTAAACTTTAGTCAGGCTAATTTAAAGGCACTTAAGTCTGTAACTCCTTTTCTTCTCCTCGTCAAGATCCTTTCTGTGGTCATACTTACAAATCTCATAATGAACAAAGAATTTTGGTACAGGTCAAGTGGTTCTGCTCGGCGTTTGTGAAACAACTGAGGTTTCTGTCAACAGATCTAGATGGATGTTTGTGTTTTAACTAGTTTAGGGACCACTTCTATTGAAATACCAAAGTCTTAATCTGAATCTTTTTTTAAAATGTCCCCAAAATGGTCAGCATTAACTTGTGAAGTCACTTCAACACCAAATTGCATCAGTTTTTCTTCTTTTCATGAAACACAATCCTCCTGAATATCTTAGTTCATTGTCAGAAAACACCATGAAATTATGCTATATACAATACATTTACTATTTTTGTGTTGAATTTTGGCAAATCATGTTTCAAAGGAATCATTCGTGCAATGCACATTGATTAAAGTATATAACTAAAAATATAAAGCTGTAGTCATTTTTAGCTCACCTGGCCCAAAGGGCCAAGTGAGCTTATATGCCATGGTGCGGAGTCCGTCCGTCCGGCGTCAATATTTTACTTTAAACAACTTCTTATCAATGACCGAAAGGCCCAGGGTACTGATATTGGCCCTGTATCATGCTGGGATGAAGGGCTACCAAGCTTGTTCAAATGAATGACCTTAACCCACTTTCAAGGTCACAGGGGTCAAATGTCGTAAAATCTTCAAACGACTTCTCCTGAATAACCAAAAGGCCCAGGGTACTGAAATTTGGCCAGTAGCATGCTGGGATGAAGGACTACCAAGTTTGTTCAAATGAATGACCTTGACCCACTTTCAAGCTAAAGTCCTCATTCAAGGTCACAGGCTTCATATGTTTAAATCTTTTAATAGGTTCTTATTAATCAAACACTGATATTCTGCCTGTAGCTGTACATGTATTTTAGTCCACTTTTAAGATTACAAGTGTGAGATTAATACCAGGTGAGCGATGCAGGCCCATTGGGCCTCTTGTTATTTACAACTGTCAGAAATCTTAAACATACATCCAAATTGAAGGTGTGAGTGTGTTATATACTTACATTGGTAGAGTGACAATTTGAATCACTAAAGCAGTCAAATAACAATGGATATCTTTGTTCATCAAGCTGTATTTTAGCCTTTAAAAACAAATTGTCTGTAAGATTATACAGATCCATAGTAGGTATCCAGAATCAAGCCAATGACAAACTGTCCCTAAACAACTTGTTGCTGTATATAGTATAGGGCTATAAAATACCTGAAAATCCATTATGGTTATCTACAATTACTTTCAGGTTACAAGGGTCAAATGTGTTTAAGAATGAAACACAAAGAACCATGAGGTCCCACTTAATCCAAGGTTAAAGAAGTCAAATTTGGTAAAATTTATATGTTATGTACTTCTACAAAATAATGAGGTCTGGGTTATTAGTTAATAAATGACTTTGACCCAGTTTCGAGGTCACAGGGATCAAATGTTTAAAAACTTTCAAGATCTTTGTGACAACTATTGGTGCCAGGTAATTGTACTGTCACATCCAATGGTAAAGGTCTATCAGATTTTTTGGAATAATGACATCAATCCACTTCCAAAGGCGCAAGTGGCATATAATGTATGTATTAAACATTTCTAACAATAAGACCTAAATTGTTGATGCTGTGGGATACTGTTTCTTCTGAACAGTTGATCGCATTTGCTTTAAAGCATCCTTGAGACCAGAGTACAAAAAGGAAGGGTGATGCAGGTCTAAAGTTTGGAAATATTATCAATATTACTTTCAATGAGAATATCTTGCCATATTTGTTGAACAATACAAATAGAGGGATACCACAACTGCTGTCTCTTGGTCGGTCACTTTTAGCTACCAACAACACGGGTTTGGTCTCATTTTGCCATTCACAATGCAGCACTGGTCAGCTTGTCTCCCTAGACACCTCTGGTTAGCTTGTTGTCTCCCTAGACACTTCTGGTTAGCCAGTTGTCTCCTTAGACACTTCTGGTTAGCCTGTTGTCTCCCTAAACACCTCTGGTTAGCTTGTTGCCTCCCTAAATACCTCTGGTTATCTTTATGTCCTTATAGACACATCTGGTTAGCCCCGTTGTGTCCCTAGACACCTCTGGTTAGCTTTACGTCCTCATAGACACCTCTGATTTACCTAAACACCTGTGGTTAGCTTGTCGTCTCCCCAGACACCTCTGGTTAATCAGTTGTCTCCCCAGACACCTCCGTTTATCCGTTGTCTCCCTAGACAAGTATAGTTAGCCCATATGTACACATGCTCAGCCAGTTGCCTCCTGATCAGCATGTTGTGAGAATAACTAGTGTGGTTTTCAAGTTTGACATTTTAATGAGATGTTTCTTTTAGTGGCTAATTACCAATTAATTATTCCATTTCCAGTTGATTAATTACTGTCACTTATCTTTGTATAATGTTCTAAATGCTTTGGCTATTCAGACAAAAAGTTAATCGTTTATGAAATTAGAACATATACGTAATGTAAAACATGCATATGGTCCCGCTCACGCTTGAAAGAAACACAGCGAAACGCAAAGTTAAGCAAAGGTCAAACACGTCACGAAAGTCGATGAAGCTGGGGAAAAATAGATCACAGTAATACATTCGATCTATTGATGTAGTACTAATACGCTAGATGTGATTGACTTCTGGTGTATCAGCTAGGGTATTGTAGCTAAATGCAAAGTTCAACCTGGATGGTACATTGCACGTACGTACACGTGTACCAATGAAAACGGCATACACTTGATGACCTCTCCTCTATGTACAGGTTTCGGTACAGGCGGGAATTGCGTAAATTAGTGCACGTGTACCAGAAATACGTCATCCAATTGTATGGGTGCAGTGAGAGACCTGACACGATGAGTAACACTGTCATCAGTAAAATGTAGGTAGTTTCAAATTAACAACAGCTATTTTCCTCTTTGTTTAAATTGTTTGAGAATGAAATACCGGAACACCTACAGCACCCAACTTTGTCGCGACGGACCGTGTTACTATGACACATAGCAGACAACATTTTACTAAAAGCACACGGCGTGTACGTTGTCCTTTGTTCAGAGTGAATTCGATATTTCCGACATGTATCTAGGTATATTGAATACAAAAAGCCATCAGTAATACAACCTGCCTAAGTAAATACTGTCATATTTTATTAAAAAATTGACTGGGAAATTGCTGGCCATTTTCACAATTAAATGGCCGTACAAAGTGCGTGCACGAAACGCGCGTGGTGCCAAATGCGGTTAAAACATTTAGGCGCAAATGTAAAACAATACTTGTTGACATGTGTACGTCGATTCGGTGGTAATTACTCCCTAAATGTCATAATGGTATAACGTGTGTGACGCTCTTGGGAAAAATCATAAATTATCGGTAATTATGTCGTGTTATTATTTAGTAATTACTGAAAGTCCTTTGACATTTTCACCGCCGGAGTATGTCGCCAGTGCAGTCGAGTTTGGTACAGTTATATTTTACCGCGGCAGTGATGACGATTTCAAATATGTATATCGTTGAAATCTTGTAAAAAGTTTGGACGGACGATGTGTACTATATTTATATATGCAATAGTGACATGTTTGTCAACCTGTGGTGCTTTTAACTTGGACATCGAACATCCGGTGATTTTCACTGGACCCAATGGAAGTTATTTTGGATATACTGTAGCTATGTTGGATAATTTTAACGGTTCGTGGTAAGTTTGAAAGTTTGAAATATTATGCTCAAAATTCCCTTTCTCGTCACATATATAATGAAGTATGTTTAGGAATATGAATGTCTCTCACTACACATTGGTTAAGAATGTCCTATTTATTGGATCTAAGACTTTCTTTTTGCGCGTCAATTCCTAGTATACAAGCGTTTAGTCCGCAATCTCGCGCACGCTCATATAAGTCAAGGGAATTTTCCTTAACTCAAATAATATGCTTCCTTACTGTGTAACTGAAAAACGACAATCTATTAAATTGAGATGTATGGATGTAAACAATATACACTATACGGCGATAAAAGGGACAGACCCCGGGGATGTAGGGGACAGATTCTTTGGGTGTAGGGGACAGATCCCGTGGTTGTAGGGGACAGATCTACCATACACGTACATGCACGGCCATGGTGATTCAGTTCGGTCGTTCCACCCATATGGGGACCTGATACTTTTTGGACGTTGACTGAGGGATCAATTTCCATCATTGAGGGAGGATTTTTTTTTACCGAAAATTGATCTAAACCCCTAAAACGTGTAAAATAACTCTGAACATCTCAGTTTACGTCTAAATATAGCTGTAATAAATTCCCAGGTTACTGTGGTTCTACCCCTATCTAGGTTATTAATACAACTTGTGTTTCTTCACAAAAGAAACAGAGGTACATGGTCTTGTGTAATATTCTTTTCGGTATACCGAAACATTTTCGTGTTTTCTTAAAGGAAGGATTTGATACCGAAACGTCTTATACGTCTCAATTACAGGTCCATGTCTTTGCTTTGAATAGCGAGTATTTTTCTTCAAATCCCAATCACTGTCTTGAATTCCACGTCGTCTTTTAGACAAATTCTCTATCCTGGATTCTAAGTCTTTTCTTTTGAGCCATCTTTTGTCTTGGATTCCGGGTATTTTGATTCTACACCGAAGTCTCTGTCTTTTGTTTTAAATCACGCTGTCTGGGAGATAAAACTGTCTTTGTTAAGTACCTTTTACTTTCAATTAGTTGTTCCCGGTGGGGTTTGTGGTTTTGGGTTCAGTCTTTTATTTGTTGTTGTCTTTGAGCGAGAACATTTGTAATTCAGCCAAGATCAGTCTCGGTTTCTAGCGTTTGCTCTTAAGCAAAGATCCTTGTTTTGGATTTTATTGAACGATGTTCTCTATCTTAAAATATTTCCTCATAAGCAAACATGTTTAATGTTCAAAGGCCAATAGAAAGGAATAAGTGATGTGTAAGTCGTTGATAGTTCAACGCTTTAGATATATAGCGGGTTAAATGGGACAAGACACAATTTACAAATGTCTCGCTTTTGTCCAGAATAGTTAGATTAAACCGTTTATCTATGCTGTCCAGTGTTGGCTTGCATTGATGTAAGCATATTTCATACAGCAATCGTTTTGAAGATTTAACTAAGGTGCATTTATTACCTATTGGTTTGTATTGTTAGAATACATTAGAAATTATAAAGTAATTCGGTTCCTGCAGTAAATAAATGATATCACCTAAATGTGACCGGGTGGAATGCTGTGCTGGGTGCCTTCGGCTTAGTATTTCAGTGAGATAGCACTATAAAGTCGGTATCAGATTCGCGCTATTACCAGTAGGCAAGGCATACCCTGTCTCCGGCACACTTCGCCCCATACACAATACACATGGATGCATGTCCTTAAATGACCTTAGCTGTTGATACGACGTTAAACTCACAGGGACTTATTTATTCGCGCACGTCAGCTATCATGACCCTCGGCTTAATGAAAGAAGTCATTTAACGGGTATTACATGATTGACTCATGAGCATATGACCTTGAAAGGAGATCAATGTTATTTTAGTATCTATTCACATCGACAAGGTACAGCCCAGCAACCCTTATCAATACTGAAGACATGTCTTTTGAAGTAATCATTAACTTTTGAAGTTTTTGAACCCATTGCCCTTAAAACAAATCAGCCATTTCTCTTCACCAACTATTAAGCTCACCTTTCTAGTCAGCTACAGGCCAACTATCATGACCTAAACATGTCTGTTCTTTAGAAGTTAGATTTGGTCTTATGTGTTTATGTGTGCTGGAGGCAGGGTATGTTGGTGTACTTGCCTCCTTGTGATAGTGTGGATCTGATGCTGACTTAATAAGTGCTGTCTCACTGAAATACTATGCCTAAGGCAACCAGCACACTATTCCGCCCGGTCACATTGTACTGACAACCAGTGAACCAGTTGTTGCCATTCCCCTTCATACTGAACGTTAAGCGGTAACAACTACCATTTTAAGGACTTTGGTATGTCCCGGCCTGGGGACAGAACCCATTGCCCTCCTCACCTGCGCGAACGCTCAACATTAACGCCAAAAGTGAGGTGTTGCCAGCTAGGCGCTAGGAAATAAAAGGTAGTTAGAAGTAGAAAGAAAGATAAAGATTCCAAATATTGCAATAGGTGCAGCAGATTTATTATGGTCGCTTTTGTGTCCCTTAGTAGAGGACACCAAAGTATGCAGGGGTGCCCCATTAGTCGCCTCTTACTACATTTTTAAGGGATTGTCTCAACCAAAGTGAGTTTGAATATAAATCAAGGTCATTCTATACTCAAACTTTGTAGTACTTTGTGCTTGTTCTAAAATTGATAAATTAATATATACAACTTTTCAACCGTAATTATTCATCAAATCAAGCAGTTTTCCACATTCATTTATGCTCTGCAAATGCAACTTTTGAGCAGTTTTTGGAAACAAATTACCATTTCTCATCAAAACAAAATATTTCTCCACTGAAGCATAAGACTACTATGGCATGTTTTATTTTTCAATATCGAAGAAAATGTTGATTTTTTTATTTTCTCTCCAAAAATAGAGAAGTTTCATATTAATTTTCCTTAAAAATCAGGAAATCTCTCTCCTAAAACCATAATAAAAGGGAAAAAAAAACAGAAAAAAATTAATGGGTTTTAGAAACTCCACTAAAATGACCTGGAATAAAGGTCAAGGTAATTACTGTTCATAAACTTTGTAGTACTATATACAGCAAGCTATTGGCTAAGTATCATATTCTTTTGTGATATGGATTTTTAAGAAGAAACTGTTGAAACAAATACTGTAAGATGACAGATACAGTGCTATCCGATAAGCTCAGTGTTTCTTTACCAAATGTATCAGTCATACTAAGAGTGAGGTTTAAGGTTGAATAGGATCAGGTAGATACAAATACATGAACATTTAGAGAGAAAAACCCAGTATTTCATCAAAATATCATACTGTTATATTTTGGCGTTTTCATTTCTTAATAAAAACCAGAAAAAAACAGTTTTTGCAGCCATCACTTTTAAAATTTATTTTCTTTTCTTTCACCAAAAGAAACTGCATAATAAGTGAAAGATATACTGATACCGGAAACACATATATGTTGTCAAATGAAAGTTTGTTGTGGCTAGGGGTTTAACCTTGGGCACCCCATGGCCAACCCTAGCACTCATATAGTATACATACATCCATAGGTTTATGTATATATATCACAACTTTCTAAAGGAATAAAATGCTTTTTGTACCAGAAGAAATATATTTGCATAGGTATATATATAACATGATAACAAAGCAAGTTTCTTGTTAGTGAGTCACAAAAGAATGCAAATAATAAATCCTGTATGTCTGATGAAAATGATTCATCCCCAGATAATGGAAGTAATTTTCTCCGGTCCCCATGCATACCTAACACCCATAGCTGTACACAACACCCACATTGCATAGGGTTAGTCATCTGACATTTGAGACAACAAATCTGACATATCATGTTAATATCAAAGAAGGTCATCATCCAACATAAATTTCCCCAACTTTCCGCTGCGGAATGACTTGATGACAATGTTAGCAGCAGCACTGAAGTCTGGTATATGCACATACTGACGTGTTTCGGTGGATTTGATCTTTTTAATCATTTTATTCTTCAGAGCCACATGTTTTAAAAATGGCATCACATCATCTATTGGTTCCTTGAGTTCAAAATATTTCACGTAATCAAACTGTTGTTGCTTGTTCATCCAGTATAACATATAGTCCACAATATATTCTTCCCCTACGTAATGGTCGGGCATACATCCACACAGTGCAAGCTTCATCCCCACATGGATATTCGGTACAGTAGGGGTCAGAATTCCGGGGGAGTCAGTAAGAAAGATTGGCGGATCAAAGTTCACCCTCACTTTATTCCCCACTGACCTCGTAACGCCGGCGATAGCTCCAACTGAAGCAGCTTTTTTGTGGTGTGTAGTGTTCAATCTCCTCAAGTAATTTAGAAATGTGGATTTTCCTATATTCGGTACTCCTAGTACCAGTAAGTTGAACTCATTAATCTCCGCTCTATGATACCTGGATCTCGCTTCGATGGCTTTAGTCACCAATGAAAACAGATCTCTTGACATAGCAGTATTCTTAGTAGACACTGTGCTCTGAGTAAACATCACATTGTCAACGCCTTCGGATTTTAACTTTGAAAGTATCAGATGTTTCTTTTTTAAATTGCACAAGTCCATTTTGTTGTAAACAAGGATGTGGGGACGGAGAGATATGATGTCATTAAAACGAGGGTTCCGTCCAGAAAATGGAATTCTAGCATCATGAACTTCGATAACGCAGTCAATGTTTTTCAGCATGTGTTGCACTTTTAAAACCCCTTTCTGCATGTGTCCAGGAAACCATTTGACCATGTCCATGTCAGGCAGGGTAAACGTCTTCCTGAAAGAATGTGTCACATTGGAAAACCGACTAGCCATGGCTCGTGTGGTTAAACTAACTGGTTACGCTGTAATGTCTGATTGATTGAGAGGCAGCATTTGTTCAGCATGGTCGCAGCCATTACTCAGCCTGCCGGATGTTGATTATTGAAGGGAAGCAACTCTGAGTGACGATAATCAGTAATGCATAGTTTCACTTCGTACGCCCAATCTGGCGAATGCTTTTGCAACGGGCTCCACAAATGTTTTAAATCTTAGGCCTAACTGAAACTATTTCATATAGGCCTAGCGTAAATTTCCCTTCTCTAGTGTCCATTAAGTACTACGGTAGATAACGCCATTTATCTAGTAAGAAAAATCGCTTCATACACATGTATAAAGCAGTGAGTGCTAATATTACAATCGCCCATTAAAGTTCTCTTTTTTTATCAGGCATACTTTTATTTATTATATAGTTATCGACGCCTTGCACAGCAAGCCGAATTTTTAAAAAGATTTATCCAAGGAGAAATATTGATCCTGTATGGTTATTCTAATTATGTACATGAAGTTAGTAAAATATGATATATTTAAAATGGTATATGTAAATGTAACATATAAAGTTCATTATCAATGAAATGACGCTTGTACATTAATTCATATAAATATAATTCTCCTTGATTTAATATGAAGCTTGCTTGCCATACTTTTTCCTTATTGTAAACGCCTTTATCAACATAAGTGATTATAAAAATAGCAATGGTAATTGAATTCTTCATTTAGATATCTATAATGCACGCACTCTCATCATGCCTAATTCGATTGTTTGTTTGTTTGTTTTTTGCCCGTCCTGGCTTGCCATGTCCAGATTTGCTGTCATCACTTTAGAGCGTTTAATAAATGTATGCATGTGTTTCAGGGTAATTTTATTTTCAGATAGCCAGGCCATTATTACTTAGAAAAATTGTCAACTATTTATATGTCCTTCTTAAAAGATTTTGACCAAACTTTATGAAAATATTACGTTCCAGAATACTAAAATGTATTGGTTCATGGTTCATGGTGGTCGACGTCTTGGAAAGCATAGTATTGCTTCTGTTGACGCCTCTTCATGGTTGTTGGTACCGTTTCATTATCTATTTACGTAATTAGAATGCTAATTCATTTTTTTTGAAGTGTCGCACATTTCATCAGATTTTATTGACTTTATATATGTCAATTGGATTGGACATCAGGCTAGGCCTATTTAAGTCCTTTCCAGACTTATTTACAAACATTACATATATTCTGTCATAACAATCCAATTAAACAGTGCAGGGGAGATAACTCCAATTTAGCTTGTGAAATGAAAATTTTCAACTTTTGTTTAATCATTTTCTGTTTATGTTTTAGATATTAATAATTAAATAAATCATGTATATTTATTGACAACCCATCCTACATTAAATCCAAGGGATACAGGCCCAAAAGTGTCGCACATGTATATGTCTCTTCAGTAGTACTGAGTACTGAAGTTTAAACATTGCGTTACGCGAGGTTAGTTACTTAGTGTATCAGAATTTGTAACGTTTCATCTTGGTGTGTATAGGAAGCTGAAACAAGTACCAAAACACTCATATACGTATAAATCCGTCAACATAGTACGAAAAATGGATAAATAACAGCTATGAACTTTTTTTTCCCAATTCCTCTGAAATTGTCGGTATGCTGTAACTGTAAATAAATTATTACATGCAATAGTTTAATTAATGTCAAAATACATCATTAACAGAAAAAACAAGGAATGACAAGAAAATATAGCATACGCAATGTGAATATTAACGAGATGACATATCTATCAGTCAGTCGGGTGGGTTGGTAGCGTAATCTACTATTGTTCACACACAGCCAAATCTCCTAAACATCTTTCAACACATCTTAAGATCAATTACAATACAATAATTACAATAATTATTTGCTCTAATTTTGCAATGTTTTTATCCGTCATCGGCAGACATTTTGTGGATTGTTCAGGGCTCAGTCAATATTCAATTAGATATAGCACAAACATATATAAATATATATTGTACATGGACTTAAGTAGATGTAAATTAATCCACACATAGGCCTGTCAATATTTAAGATTTCATCTGTTGTGTACTTTTTCTGGTGATAATTATAATTGAGAAATTTTGAAAACGTGATTTTTCTTTGGTTTCTTGAAAAGACAAATATGGATTTCCATTTCAATGTTCATTGCTTACAGGAAAATAATATTGAAGATGAATGTCAAAACCACACATGTGATTGCATCTATGGACTACGGTAACTGATACATTATACCAAACATGAATCACGTTGCACCGCAAAGAAGTTTCATCCTCATCGGTGATGCTAGGAGCCAAATAAGTGGAAGTCCAACCTGATCTGAAATAGTGTAGAAAGCAAATAGGAGGGGAACTTTACATACATACATATGTTCTATTCTGACAAACATAGGATTTTATAATACTTTGACAGTCGGCTCTGATATCAAAAATGTTAATATGATAACAACGACATTATACTTTAACAATGAACGCTAGATATTCTCAAATAGAGACCGCAGATTCCTCTTGTTTTCTTTCTTTCTGTTTTCGTTTGAGCGCATATTCTTGATATTCGTATTTTCTAAATTAAAGGGTGTTAATTGGGGCTCCGATCGACCAGGACATTTTCCAGCCTGAGGTAGAACGACCAGGAGCACTGTACAAATGTCGGTACCGTAATGAGGAGACGAAGGAGCAGTGTACACCAGTACAAGTCGACAACACAGGTAAGTATAACCAGTAGATACAGAGGTAGGGTACCGTAATGAGGAGACGAGGGAGCAGTGTACACAGGTACAAGTCGACAACACAGGTAAGTATAACCAGTAGATACAGAGGTAGGGTCGGTACCGTAATGAGGAGACGAGGGAGCAGTGTACACAGGTACAAGTCGACAACACAGGTAAGTATAACCAGTAGATACAGAGGTAGGGTCGGTACCGTAATGAGGAGACGAGGGAGCAGTGTACACAGGTACAAGTCGACAACACAGGTAAGTATAACCAGTAGATACAGAGGTAGGGTCGGTACCGTAATGAGGAGACGAGGGAGCAGTGTACACAGGTACAAGTCGACAACACAGGTAAGTATAACCAGTAGATACAGAGGTAGGGTCGGTACCGTAATGAGGAGACGAGGGAGCAGTGTACACAGGTACAAGTCGACAACACAGGTAAGTATAACCAGTAGATACAGAGGTAGGGTCGGTACCGTAATGAGGAGACGAGGGAGCAGTGTACACAGGTACAAGTCGACAACACAGGTAAGTATAACCAGTAGATACAGAGGTAGGGTCGGTACCGTAATGAGGAGACGAGGGAGCAGTGTACACAGGTACAAGTCGACAACACAGGTAAGTATAACCAGTAGATACAGAGGTAGGGTCGGTACCGTAATGAGGAGACGAGGGAGCAGTGTACACAGGTACAAGTCGACAACACAGGTAAGTATAACCAGTAGATACAGAGGTAGGGTCGGTACCGTAATGAGGAGACGAGGGAGCAGTGTACACAGGTACAAGTCGACAACACAGGTAAGTATAACCAGTAGATACAGAGGTAGGGTCGGTACCGTAATGAGGAGACGAGGGAGCAGTGTACACAGGTACAAGTCGACAACACAGGTAAGTATAACCAGTAGATACAGAGGTAGGGTCGGTACCGTAATGAGGAGACGAGGGAGCAGTGTACACAGGTACAAGTCGACAACACAGGTAAGTATAACCAGTAGATACAGAGGTAGGGTCGGTACCGTAATGAGGAGACGAGGGAGCAGTGTACACAGGTACAAGTCGACAACACAGGTAAGTATAACCAGTAGATACAGAGGTAGGGTCGGTACCGTAATGAGGAGACGAGGGAGCAGTGTACACAGGTACAAGTCGACAACACAGGTAAGTATAACCAGTAGATACAGAGGTAGGGTCGGTACCGTAATGAGGAGACGAGGGAGCAGTGTACACAGGTACAAGTCGACAACACAGGTAAGTATAACCAGTAGATACAGAGGTAGGGTCGGTACCGTAATGAGGAGACGAGGGAGCAGTGTACACAGGTACAAGTCGACAACACAGGTAAGTATAACCAGTAGATACAGAGGTAGGGTCGGTACCGTAATGAGGAGACGAGGGAGCAGTGTACACAGGTACAAGTCGACAACACAGGTAAGTATAACCAGTAGATACAGAGGTAGGGTCGGTACCGTAATGAGGAGACGAGGGAGCAGTGTACACAGGTACAAGTCGACAACACAGGTAAGTATAACCAGTAGATACAGAGGTAGGGTCGGTACCGTAATGAGGAGACGAGGGAGCAGTGTACACAGGTACAAGTCGACAACACAGGTAAGTATAACCAGTAGATACAGAGGTAGGGTCGGTACCGTAATGAGGAGACGAGGGAGCAGTGTACACAGGTACAAGTCGACAACACAGGTAAGTATAACCAGTAGATACAGAGGTAGGGTCGGTACCGTAATGAGGAGACGAGGGAGCAGTGTACACAGGTACAAGTCGACAACACAGGTAAGTATAACCAGTAGATACAGAGGTAGGGTCGGTACCGTAATGAGGAGACGAGGGAGCAGTGTACACAGGTACAAGTCGACAACACAGGTAAGTATAACCAGTAGATACAGAGGTAGGGTCGGTACCGTAATGAGGAGACGAGGGAGCAGTGTACACAGGTACAAGTCGACAACACAGGTAAGTATAACCAGTAGATACAGAGGTAGGGTCGGTACCGTAATGAGGAGACGAGGGAGCAGTGTACACAGGTACAAGTCGACAACACAGGTAAGTATAACCAGTAGATACAGAGGTAGGGTCGGTACCGTAATGAGGAGACGAGGGAGCAGTGTACACAGGTACAAGTCGACAACACAGGTAAGTATAACCAGTAGATACAGAGGTAGGGTCGGTACCGTAATGAGGAGACGAGGGAGCAGTGTACACAGGTACAAGTCGACAACACAGGTAAGTATAACCAGTAGATACAGAGGTAGGGTCGGTACCGTAATGAGGAGACGAGGGAGCAGTGTACACAGGTACAAGTCGACAACACAGGTAAGTATAACCAGTAGATACAGAGGTAGGGTCGGTACCGTAATGAGGAGACGAGGGAGCAGTGTACACAGGTACAAGTCGACAACACAGGTAAGTATAACCAGTAGATACAGAGGTAGGGTCGGTACCGTAATGAGGAGACGAGGGAGCAGTGTACACAGGTACAAGTCGACAACACAGGTAAGTATAACCAGTAGATACAGAGGTAGGGTCGGTACCGTAATGAGGAGACGAGGGAGCAGTGTACACAGGTACAAGTCGACAACACAGGTAAGTATAACCAGTAGATACAGAGGTAGGGTCGGTACCGTAATGAGGAGACGAGGGAGCAGTGTACACAGGTACAAGTCGACAACACAGGTAAGTATAACCAGTAGATACAGAGGTAGGGTCGGTACCGTAATGAGGAGACGAGGGAGCAGTGTACACAGGTACAAGTCGACAACACAGGTAAGTATAACCAGTAGATACAGAGGTAGGGTCGGTACCGTAATGAGGAGACGAGGGAGCAGTGTACACAGGTACAAGTCGACAACACAGGTAAGTATAACCAGTAGATACAGAGGTAGGGTCGGTACCGTAATGAGGAGACGAGGGAGCAGTGTACACAGGTACAAGTCGACAACACAGGTAAGTATAACCAGTAGATACAGAGGTAGGGTCGGTACCGTAATGAGGAGACGAGGGAGCAGTGTACACAGGTACAAGTCGACAACACAGGTAAGTATAACCAGTAGATACAGAGGTAGGGTCGGTACCGTAATGAGGAGACGAGGGAGCAGTGTACACAGGTACAAGTCGACAACACAGGTAAGTATAACCAGTAGATACAGAGGTAGGGTCGGTACCGTAATGAGGAGACGAGGGAGCAGTGTACACAGGTACAAGTCGACAACACAGGTAAGTATAACCAGTAGATACAGAGGTAGGGTCGGTACCGTAATGAGGAGACGAGGGAGCAGTGTACACAGGTACAAGTCGACAACACAGGTAAGTATAACCAGTAGATACAGAGGTAGGGTCGGTACCGTAATGAGGAGACGAGGGAGCAGTGTACACAGGTACAAGTCGACAACACAGGTAAGTATAACCAGTAGATACAGAGGTAGGGTCGGTACCGTAATGAGGAGACGAGGGAGCAGTGTACACAGGTACAAGTCGACAACACAGGTAAGTATAACCAGTAGATACAGAGGTAGGGTCGGTACCGTAATGAGGAGACGAGGGAGCAGTGTACACAGGTACAAGTCGACAACACAGGTAAGTATAACCAGTAGATACAGAGGTAGGGTCGGTACCGTAATGAGGAGACGAGGGAGCAGTGTACACAGGTACAAGTCGACAACACAGGTAAGTATAACCAGTAGATACAGAGGTAGGGTCGGTACCGTAATGAGGAGACGAGGGAGCAGTGTACACAGGTACAAGTCGACAACACAGGTAAGTATAACCAGTAGATACAGAGGTAGGGTCGGTACCGTAATGAGGAGACGAGGGAGCAGTGTACACAGATACAAGTCGACAACACAGGTAAGTATAACCAGTAGATACAGAGGTAGGATCGGAGAAAATTAGACCTTTTTTTGGCTAAAAAACATAAAATAATTGTGAAATGCACTAATGTAACGGTTCTTGACTTGGAGCATGTATATTTTATAGTGTCAGGGTGTTTATGTGTTTGATTAATGAATATGATAAATTGCCATATTCAATACAATATTAGCAGATTACGATAGTTTTTTGTTGTTTTTTTAAAGGGGGGGGGGGGGGGGGGGGGGGGGGGCGTACGCCCATTACACCCTCACCTGGACCCGCCCCTGATCTCCTCTTTTTCCGCCACTACTGGGGATCGAACCGATATTCTTGTGAGAGTGAGTGGTCTGCAGCTTACCCTTTATTGCACACAGTAGAAATGACTGTGCGCGTTAGCGGTCACGGCTACCGAGACACCCTCACCGAAGTTATTAATCATAGTAACAATTTTGTGTTGAAGAAACAGTCAGGCAAATTCAAGTTTAGTTATGATGCAAAATAGTCACTAAAACATTGAAGTAAGGAAACGCCCACATGAAAAGCTGAAATCCAAACAAAGTAAACGGTTGCACCATAGGGACACTCCGTCCATCCTGGACCCACCAGTAAGACAAAAGAATGTAAATCCGAGTTAAAATTGCACTGAAACACACATAGACATACAACAATAGGAGAAGGTATCTATACACCCTGTATTACGTTACAATTTTACAACTTCGGGCTACATTAGATAATGTATTCTTTAACATTTGTATTTCATTTAAACCGTGGCAGAATAAATTCAAGTAACAACGTTATGGACTACCTCGGGGATTTTAAAACCCGTGTTATTCTACATTGTAATTGTTAAGCTGATATTCCTTGCAATACGCGTTATTTTTTTATGTTCGTTTTAATATCACTTCTGAACTTGCAATTAACCTTCTCAAACTTTTACACTTAAAAGGTGAGTGAATGGATTGATTTCGTTAAGTCTTAACAATTTGACATAATTTTGATTCTGCAGGTTATAATGAACAGGTTATGATGTTCCACGGTAGGAGCATCAAGTTTCATCACCACAAAAATAATGACGTTTTATTCATGAACATGTTTTTGATTTTGCAGGTAATACTGAACAGAGTATGGTGTTCCACGGTAGGAGCATCAAGTTTCACCACCACAAAGATGGTCAGTGGCTGGGCGTGGCTCTCGATGTCCGACCGGATGACCAATCGTCAGTGCTGGTCAGTATTCGTTTGATTTCGATTTCATTGACTAAGGAAAAATTCATTAAGATTAACATAATATATAATACTAATTTTATACTAACTTTAAACTATCTATTTATCTATTTAATAAATTCGGGTAAAGTGATTCAACTTCATTATTTAATAATGAGGATTTTTTTATTTGACACAACAATGAGAATCTGTATAAAACATTACTTGAAAACCACCGTATACTATTTTTAATTTGAAAGTATGGGGGTGGGGGGACACATTCAGACTAGAACCACATGTTTGTTCTTGTTTGTCGATGCAGAAATATTTTTGTTTTGTTTTGAGATCTCCTCAGTTCTTGTTGTTTTGTACATAATGTATTGTTGAAGCAGTCCTATGTGATAACGTTGTGACATGCATGCTTTTTGTTTTGTTTTTAATTTTTGCCAATATTGTTACGTAGGTGTGCGCTCACCGATGGAAGGACAACTTCCTGTTAAAGAAATTTGACGACATATCTCACATGAACGGCATGTGCTATGAATTACATAGTAACCTTACTGCGGCAGGACGACTCGTCCCGGCTCTCACCAAGCTGAACCGCCTGGTGAACCGACGACTCCGGTATGCCGAGTTCTCTATGGGAAGTCTTGGCATGGCAGCACAGTTCTCTGACGTAAGTACTTGTAATCAATTTCTCTTCATGGTATGCAATAACTTTATTTGTATTTTCATCATTGAAATTAACTTTAAAGAAGTTTGGTAAATCAATAACTACCGAAGCTACACGCATAATGCGCCTGGATATACGTTTTACAATATCTCCCTTTAGAAGTTTTACACCATCTCATTTTAGAACGTTTTATACCATCTCCCTTTAGAACGTTTTACACCATCTCCCTTTAGAACGTTTAATACCATCTCACTTTAGAACGTTTTATATCATCTCCCTTTAGAACGTTAAACACCATCCTCCTTTAGAACGTTTTATACCATCTCCCTTTAGAACGTTTTATACCATCTCCCTTTAGAACGTTTTACACCATCTCCCCTTAAGAACGTTTTACACCATCTCCCCTTAAGGATGTACACCTCTGAGAAGTCCTGTATTAAACTTTTTTTCTTATATTGATTTTTGGGAAAAGGAGATAATGGCATAGTAGAAAATGCAAAAAAAACTATATGTTGGTGAGTTCGTTTTTGTGCTATGATCGGTCAAAGATACCAATTTAACACAATATGTGATTTTAGGTGAATTTTCGTGTTTTGACCATTGGCAGAACAAATTCATACAATTTCTTCCAAGTGTGTTATCAGATATGTATGAATGTTTGTAGAATTGATAAAAATATTATTTTCTTTGAAACTATGGAAGTAAAATGTCTTAAACTTATTCATTTTACTCAAAAATGCGATTTTAGTTACCCCTACCCCTTATTTTTTAATGAAAAAATGCACATTTTTCACCATTTTTTGCCGATTAAACGCTTGATATAAAAAAATCCTGTAATAAACTTTTTTTAGTATTCAATGAATCGAAAGAAAATGAGTTTCTCTTTCTAAAACAGCCACAAAAATGGGGGGTCGGTGTGCTTCTTTTTTTGTCCCATTATTATTTGTGTTATTTTTCACCTTTTTCGGGGTCAAAAATCAAAAGTGCTTCAGTTACCCTAATATGTAAAAAAAAAAATCAATAATATATAACTTTCCACTTTTTTGCATATTATTTTGATCATATTGAACATTATAAAGTTGTACAGCAAAATTAAACCTGCTACAATTAAAAATGGTGACACAATGACGATTTAAGTGATCAATCTAGTGTCAAAAAAGGTGAATTTTGGCCCTTTGTGAAGCGCAAGAAATTCACATAAATCCACTTTTTCAAAATGGCCGCCAAATTGGTCATTTTTTTAAATATTCTTGTAAAAAATGTTCTACACACAACAGACATCTAGTTTTTTTACATGATTTTTAGATGTGTGTTTGCTATTATACTTATCATAATTTGTTAAATATTACAAAAACCCGTTACACCAGATCAAAACGAGACTTGAACGTGACTGAAACCTCAGAAGAGTACATCCTTAAGAACGTTTGACACCATTTCCCTTTAGAACGTTTTACACCATCTCCCTTTAGAACGTTTTACACCATTTCCCTTTAAAACGTTTTATACCATCTCACTTTAGAACGTTAAACACCATCTCCCCTTAAGAACGTTTAACACCATTTCCCTTTAGAACGTTTTACACCATCTCCCTTTAGAACGTTTTACACCATGTCCTTTTAGAGGTTTTTCGCCTAATAGAAAAACATAAAATATCATATTGACTGAAACACAGAAAGCAGTTATAAAGATATTTACCATTAGTAAACTTTGACAGACTTTGAATATACTGAGTGGTGTTCAATGTAGACAAAATTATATAGATCACAGTAGATCTATTTTATTCTGATAGGAAGGAGGCCAACTGTTGATGGGAGCACCGGGACTTAACGACTGGTCTGGTACGTAGAACGCCTCAGTTTACTAAATGTACACACTAATTGTAAACTTACTTTGGGAGGGGGGATTTACATATGTACAGTTTCGTCATTTTGTTATCATTTTAGGAAACCTTCAACTTATCTCCTGATATAGTTGTTGCAACGCGAAGACGATCAGTGTCCAATGAAATAGCTCAGAGCGAATTTGTTCTGATTTGTTTCTGGGAAATAACAACAATTAAATACAGAATGTATTTTATTGCATTTATGTTTGTGGTAACGGTTTATTTTGGGATTCTTTCTTTTTGCCCTAGAATATATTTTCCTAGTGAGCAAGGCGAACAGGACGCACATGCGTATAAAAAAATGATCACGTGGTCTAGCTAAGCGTCACTTGAAAAATTTCTTCACGGGCAGAAAGGTAGGGCGCTATTTTAAACATTGATTTCTTCCCGCCGCCGTCCCCTTACACCTCTAATTGTATATGATGGCATAATACTCATGGTATGTTTAACAGTTATTCAAGGTTTGGGCGTTTTCTTGTCCCCTCACCTACTATAGTCATTAGGAGAATGGCATTGCATTTGATTATGAAATGCAGTCTATGGAACACCTTCTCAGGAGGGTGTTCAATACATGTATTGTAACATGTATTTTATGTTATGTCGTACATGTATTTTTATGTTATGTCGTTTTAATAAAAACGGCCATTTTCAATCATTATGTCTTTCTGGTTTTTATTGACTATCGTACTATTACATAGCTTGCTGCTTGACTGATAGGTGCGAACCATTCAACATAAATAACAAAAATGTAAAAATTCAATAGATCCCTCCTCTAAATATGTAATAATTTCTTTGTTACTTTGGATGTCACTGATCAATTTACTCGTGACCTTTCACCTTTGGAAGAAAGAAACACAGCGAACTCTGGCATCCTTATAAGATATATATGTATGCTATTCACTTGACCCCGCATAATACTGAAGTATACTTGTTTTCCTTACAGGAGGCGTCGCAATAGAGAAAGAGAGCGATTCCAGGCGGGACCTGCGCTACATAGAACCTGTTCACAGCATTTACCACGACAACTACATAGGTATCTTACGACTCTAAATGGTCGGCACATATTGTTTACAAGCAGTATACACAAACTTGTTTACAATAAACATCTATAGTCACTCTTCTATTTCAATGATACTGGGCGCATCTCCCTGATCTACACGTTGCCTGTTGTGCTGTCTCATTACATGTATTTAAAGAAGATACGCTATAATTAAGACGCTCTCTTTTTTTCACTTGAGTACTTACAGATTTTGTAAGTATATACATTGTTTACTGTTGCCAGGATACGCCATCACCACCGGAAGTTACTTGTCACGCAGGTCCAAGAATATTGCATTAGGAGCTCCAAAGGCTAATAACACCGGAAAGGTATACATTCAGCGTCTTATTTCCTTGATATTAAAAACTCACGAACTAAAAATAAAAATAAATATTTGCAAGAAGTTATATCATTACTATCTATCTACGTTGTTTGTGAATTGATGATAATTTTAAATTCCCATATTTTTATGAATTTTTCATTAAGTTCAAAGATGAAGGTAACCCAGTTTCGCCTCCACAAATGTATACCTTCATATAGACTTTTTGACGCTCAGTTCTCGATGATGCCTTTTCGTATCGCATTTGATAGATGATTTTGTCCTGTGTTTGGACGCTGTTGTATAATTTGTCCTTTTTGTGTATGTTGTATATTTTGTGTTGGCTCTGTGGTATGATTTGACCTTTTGTGTTGACTCTGTTGTATACATTGTGTTGGCTCTGTTGTATGATTTGACCTTTTGTGTTGACTCTGTTGTATATTTTGTGTTGGCTCTGTTGTATGATCTGACCTTTTGTGTTGCTGCTGTTGTATATGTTGTGTTTGCTCTGTGATTTGATTTGACCTTTTGTGTTGATATTGTTGTATATGTTGTGTTGGCTCTGTGGTATGATTTGACCTTTTGTGTTGATGCTGTTGTATATGTTGGTTGGCTCTGTGGTATGATTTGACCTTTTGTGTTGACTCTGTTGTATATGTTGTGTTTGCTCTGTGGTATGATTTGACCTTTGGTGTTGA